CAGCCTCATTCCCACTCCCGAATCCATAAACTTTACTAGCGATCACATCGGTCTTGATATCCAATGTACCAATATCGCTCTTGTCACTGCTCTCCTGGCCCCCCGTGGTATTGTGCAGGATGCGTGTTGTGACTGCAAAGTCAACGTCGATGCGTCGGCGCTGGCTTTGCGGTGTATTACCCGTGGAGAGGAGAGTGCATCTTGCGCGGAGGGAAGGAGAGGAGTCATTTGCTTCGAGGAGCTTGAGTTTGGTGACGCCGCAGAATTCGAGCATGCGGGCTTCTTCTTCGAGTTTGAGGGTGAGGTCCCAGGCTTGGGAGATGAAGTGGAGGAGGTGTTTGGGGGAGGAGTGTTGGTAGGTGGTGGAGGTGATGTGGGATTGGAGGGATTTGAGGACTAGGAGGGAGATGGGCGAGAGTTGGGCGGTGGGTATAGTGGTGCGCTTGGTATCGGTTGTGGGGGCGTATTTTAGGTCGATTGGTGTGTCTGGGTTCGTGGCGTTGTCAGTGTTGGTGTGGAAGGGGGCAGGGTGGAAAGTGAGTTGGAGTTGGTTGCGATAGGTCATGGTTATGGCTGGGCCGGCGGAGGATCCTTCTGGAGGGGAGGTCGCGGAGATAATGCTCCAGCCTGTTTGGCGCTCCAGGTTGCGAACGGATTCTTTAAGTTCGCTGATCTCTTTGGCGCTCCAGCCGCGGCATTCTTCTTTGATTCGTTCTGCTTCTTCGATCTGGGCGGTGTATTCTGCTTTGAGTGCTGTGCCGGACTCGATCGTATCGGTTTTGGTTTTGAGTTCGTCTTGCATTTCCTGCAGTCGCCGCTTCTTCTCTTCTATTTCGGCTTCCACGCTAGAGAGCTTCTCTCTTGCACTGTGGAGTTTGTCCTGGTCGCAGTTCTCCATCTCGTCTGCTAGTTGCTGGAGCGTCGTGGCTTCTTTTTCGAGTGCGGAATGTTTTTCTTCGAGGCCCGGTACGACTCCGGTCAGGAGGGCTTCATGCTTGGATAGGATATCACCATCGGCTTTCATTTCCTGCACGTGCCGATCAAGTCCGTCTTTCAGGCCCTCGAGAAGCTTCATGCGCCACTCGTACCATGTGGCTTTGCTTTGGAGTCTGGCGTGTGTCTTGACGTTGCGGAACTGGTTGTCCATCAATAGACGGATATCGGGTGGAGCTGTCATGTATTCACGGAACAGCGGCGGGTTTTCGGCGTAGGTTTCAGTTTCAATCGAGCGAATGATCTGTCTTCCTTCCGAAATATACGACTTCAGTTCGCGACAAGACTGCAAGGCTGTTAGTATGATAATAAGAGCAACGTAGGTAGGAGCGCGAAAGCTTACGTGTTGATAGAGCTCGAGCATGGGGACAGTGCAGAAACCTGCTGCCACGCAGGCTTCAAAGTCAGAAGCACTTGACTTAGTCTCGCTCTCAGTCGAAAGCCGCATTGCTCGCTTGGTAGCACTGTCAGGTGCAGTGGTATGCCGCCGTTTTGTCGTTGTGAGCTCCATGAAGTGGATGTTGGTCATGTTCAAAAAGTCCTGCAGCTGTATTGGCTCAAACTGTTGGCCAGGCTCTTCAGCAACAGCGTCTTGTTCTTCCGTAGGTTCGGCACTAGACGGTGACTTTGAGGACACTCGACCTGGTTTCTCCGGACTGGTCGCCAGGGAGCTGCCTTTCGGCTCCTGGAGAGGAGTGGTGCTCATCTTTAACGGAGATCCGCTGAAAAGTTTGAGAGGCGAACGAGCTGTACGACCAACCGTTTCATCCTTGGACGGCGGTGCGGGAAGCTTGATGTTCTTCACTGGACTCACGTTTTCACGCCCTCTCAAACGCTTTGGTGTGCTATCAACATCTTCATCTTCCATATCCAGCTCGACTGGCCGTTTACCGAGGACGCCACGAGCGGCGCCAACATGCAAGCTCTTTCTCCCACGCATTTTGTTCTTCTTCGGGGTAAGACTTGAGATCATGTCTTTCAGGTGAGCTGTGGGATCGCGATCATTGAGGGGTGGGGGCGGAATGTGCCCATCTTCCCGGTTCTCCTCCTCTTCGCGCTCTCTCTCAACCTCCTCCTGAAGCTTCACGGGATCCTCGAAGCGCACTCCCTGTTTAGATGGCTCCTGGGGTATGAACTGCGGCGCCTCTTCACCTATCGATCGACGCTTGTCAAGCATAGCAGCCACCTTAGGCGACCCAAGGCCTTCTTTGTCGATCCCCAGACCTGAAGATCGCCTCTTTCCATGAGGTTGCAAGACAAAGAGAGGAGCAGACTCCCCAGTTCCAGTATTTCCAAAAAGACTTTTACGCCTTGGAGATTTCTTCCCGCTTGTAGGTCCTGCAGGGTTCGGCTGCGCTGGCTTATCGGGCGATGTACTCTGGTTACCAGTGGATTTAGACGGAGTATCAGCAGGCGAAAGTCTGCTGACCTGTAGCGCTGGTTGCTTCGGGGATGGCTGTGATGTCTGAGAGGTTGGTGTGCTCAAAGCAGCATGGCTTAGGCTTTGTCGCGTCCGTCTGGATCTCACACTCGCCAGGCTAGGGCTTCCGTTTTCTGAAGCAACAGCAGCGACATGGAACGATGCGGGTGATTTAGCTAGGGACTGACGAGCGGGTTCCTGAGAGGGCGAGCTACCCAGGCGAGCAGCAGTCGGTTCGACATTTGGCTCTACTTCCATTGGTTCGGCGGCCTCCTGAGGCTCTGCTTGAGGTGATATTATCTTACCTACGGCGGCGGTGAAATCCATGCCCTGGGTTTGATCCTCATCTTGTGCTTCGCTTTGCTCCTGGGCTGCAGGAAGTATGCCACCAATAGCCCCAGTCATTTCCATGTCCATCCCCTCATCCATATCATCGTCTCCGTTCTCCCAAGCAGAGAAGTTTGGTGCCTTGGTGTTTGGCGTGAAAGACTCTGCTGAACCATAGTCGTTCTCGTTGGCCACATTAGCCGTTAGCGGTTTGTTCAGAACTCCACCAACGACCGACGTGAACTCCATTGTCATCTCTTCGTCTTCGTCTGCGTTACTGTTGGCTCCTGTTGACTTGGCTGGCGAAATAGGTTGCGCGATACCTCCAACGACATTGGTCAATTCCATGGTTTGTTCATCGTACACGGTCTCCGCGCCAAGCGACATGCGACTCCTCGTGCTCTGACGACGGCTCTGCCGGCCTGGAAGAATACGTCCGATGGCATTCGTCACTTCCATGCTGAGATCCTCATCCCCGTTGTCGCTTTCCGCATCAACCTCAGCCGGTTGGTCGGCCATGAACCCTGAGGGCTGGACATTCTCTTGATCATGCCGAGCGCTAATGTCTTCCCAATCAAAACTTTGGCGTTCTCCTTTCTTGATCCACGGTTGGAAGGCGCCTGTGATCTCCTGATCGGCGATCTCCATCGACATGTCACCGTCGTCATCGTCCTCAATTCCACGAGTGCCTGCTTCTCGGGCCGCTTGCCGTAGAGCCTCATTCAGCCGGGCACTGGAGCTAGTGCTAGCCTCAGACCCATCTGACCGAGCCGTGACTGCAGAACGAGCGGTCATATCATCCATACTCATCGCCGTACTTTCCCCGTCAGAGCCGGAAACGGACGAGTTGTCATCGTCATCGATGTCTTCCTGCGAACCTTGTAATCCGGTATATTCACTGCCGTCCGCCGAGCTCCCGCTGAATGGGCTTGAAGACATTTCCTGCGACGACGTTGAGCGGTTCTGGAGCTGCTGTAGATCTGGGTACTGAATGGGGGAAAAGCCGATATCTGATTCTGCGTCCAGTTCGGGAGAAGGGGGATCTTCCGGGGGATTCTTTTGCGCAGGGGTCTGGTTTGCCAGGGACGATGCACGTCTAGTTGAGTTGGAGGTAGACGAAGAGGTCGAGTCATCAGGTATCTCCACAACATTCCACGTGTGCAATGTTGCTTCGGGGGCAAATGATACACGGCGGTTTGCTGTCGCAGTCTGTCAGCTTAATGCTAAAATCGGAAAGCTTGATATCACAAACCCATGGATTTCCGGCGCGCCTCTCTTCGCTCAAGGATCGTCTTGCGCTCCCGCTCCCGTTGTTCCTTCTCTTCCCGCTCTCTCACCGCGGCCATCTCATCCCGGATTGAAGCGGCGGTGAAGCTATCGAAAGGATTGGACGGGTCGTCGCCAACAGAGCCGGACGGTTGTGCCGGGGTATCGAAGTCTATTAACAGGCCCTCTTTGCCCTGATCCGGGGCTTCGCCGGTGCCGTCATTGTGTGGTGGACCGCGAGCGGGAGTCCGTCTGCGTGTCTCCTCAAACGTGGGAATGTTGCGAACCGGAGACACGGGGACTGTAGGTTTCAGGATAGACTTGAGGGGGAAGGCTGCAGTAGACTTGAACGCGACAAGATTAATCTTAGTATGAGCGACAAATAAGGGCATCGGTGGGTGGCAGAATGCGGAGCTACCTTGCGTCGATTGCCATTCGAATCTTGGAGCGCATCTAGACCACCAGGTCCCAGACTCTTGCTGCGCGACTTTTTATCCTTCGCCGAGAGCTTCGGGCGTTCACCAATCGGTTGAGAAGAGCTGATGTTTGTGGTTGCATTCTCCTTGTCCAAGGTAGAGGCCAACTGCGATCGAGGGACATGGGCGATAGAGCGACGAGATCGCGGGCGGGAAGACCCCGCGGAGTCACTTCGGGACGCCATGGGAGTCTATATTGAGGGGAACATGAAATATAAAGGAGTTATTCAGACAGACAAGTAAACAGCGTCACCCGCGATATCCAACTGATAGTTAGGGGATCAGTCCGGGGAATGACAACAATCAACGAGTTTACTCCCCTAAGTTTCACCATAAACACTTAGATGGACTGGGCCTCGAGCTTCCCGCGCGTCACCCGGTCGGCGCTCATGTGACCGGGGGATGTAAACAAACCAAAACGGATAGCCCTAGCCGAGTCCCAAAACAGACTAGCGCCCCCATCGCACACTCACAGGCCGAATATCCGCCATCGTCGAATAAATCTTCTCCAACATCGACGTCGACCACCGCAGGCCCCGACACCCACCCTCCGCGACGAATTATACCACCCAGCTCGACTTCGCTTCCTCGTCGGACTGAATTCTCGCAACAATGGCGACCGAGTTGACCGTCCAGTCGGAACGTGCGTTCCAGAAGCAGCCTCACATCTTCGTCAACCCCAAGGCTCAGGCGAAGAGCAAGAAGGTTGGCACCGGCCGCCGTTGGTACAAGGATGTCGGTCTGGGTTTCCGTACCCCCAAGACCGCCATTGAGGGCTCCTACATCGGTATGCACGACCTATGTTGAAATTTTATTTGCGGCGTTATCGACTTCCGATCATGCGGGACCGGGACTGGGAATCTTTTGGAGGCTATGGGGAGATGAGAATATGCCGCATGGAGAAGAGAGAAATCACCTGGAAAGCGCCAGCATGAGTCTACGATAAAATGCAACTATCTTCTGCAAAGGATCGGGATGGAATGCGACAAGAGAAGGAATCAAAGATCAGACCTGGAAAAAGCGCTTGGCGACAGATTTGCGGAACCCGGTTATTCTCATCTCTCAAAGGCTCCGGAGAAGTCCAGTCATGTCGTTTGAAATCTCCAGGTGGGACATATCACTGATATCGAACAGACAAGAAGTGCCCCTTCACCGGTCTGGTTTCCATCCGTGGCCGTATCCTGACCGGCCGTGTCGTCTCCACCAAGATGCACCGTACCATCGTCATCCGCCGTGAATACCTCCACTACGTCCCCAAGTACAACCGTTACGAGAAGAGACACAAGAACCTTGCCGCTCACGTCTCTCCCGCTTTCCGTGTTGAGGAAGGTGACTGGGTCACCGTCGGCCAGTGCCGCCCCCTGAGCAAGACTGTACGTCAAACTTTCCTCGGGATATCTTCTATGGTTACTGGTGGCAAATGCATTCCTTTCCTATACGCCTGAAAGGATATGGATGATGTCCAGCGCTATCGAAGATATTCTACATGGATCGCAAAAATATATACGTCAGATGCGCTAACTTACTATTCAGGTCCGCTTCAACGTCCTCCGTGTCCTGCCCCGTACCGGCAAGGCCGTCAAGGCTTTCTCCAAGTTCTAAGCGTCTCGATGAGGAAGGGTGTGTTTTCGCGAGGACGAACCTAGGGCAGCGGCGTGACTGGATATAAACGGAATAGTTTCTAGGGTTGGGATTGTTTCACGATTTCATGTCCCAGGTACCCTTGTGGAAGGAATATCCAATGAAAAAATTACTTTGATTCTCCCACATAGACTTTTATATCTGTACGAAAGCTCAGAGCACTGAGGGAGGGTTCAGTATGCTAGTGTGAAATCTAGCCTTTCTAATCGAGTCACTGTCGCTTCCATTTGAGTCCTTTTGTAATGTTCCTTATGGCTTATATCGGCCCGTGCCTGGTTCGGACGCGTCAACCAGTCAGGGTTATAGTAGGTTCCTTCCATTCAGCTAGATACATTCCAGTGGCCCTTAAAATACCTCCAGCTCATTAATCAGACATCACAGTCCTTCCCCTCGTACTACTGTGCACTTTTCCTATCACACCCCGCCGATTCCTTCAATCTTCTTCAATAATCGTTCCACATGTGGGGCAGAAGGAGGGACGAGACTACTACAGAAGCCAGCGTCTTCGGCGTTCCCGATCTCTCGCAAACCAATCGTGAGGCAGATCATCCTCAGACAGCTCACAGGACAGAGTCTTAATATCATGCATTATGTCGCTTTCGCCTTCCACTTCAGATGTGCCCTGCATTTCCTGGGTATCATTAGTGGATGGTGGCTGCATATAAGATTGACCATCGTCCTCATCCAATTTCGCTTGTTCTTGAACCCATCTGCCAGTGTCTGGCTCAAATAACTTGATGGTTGGAGCTCGAACCTGAGATATATTCAAGGATGACAGTGCTTGAGTGTCTTCTTCAGGCCAATCAGTAATCAGCTCGGCTGATTGCTCTGGATCCTGCTCAGAAAATAGATTAATTTCCCGTCCACTGACTTCTTCTATTGTCATTTCATCATCAGTATTTCTTATGAAGAACCAGCCAGGAGTCGAGATGGGATTCCGCCTATGCGCGGCTAACTCGCGGCCCATGCAGGGTGAGCTTGTACCAATTTCCTCAGAGTCGCCATCACTTATAGTATTCTCGTTTGATGCAACAGACCCACACTCAGTGACTGAGTCGTCATCCGATATATGATGGACATTGGATGGACGACCAACTTCGCCGGCATTGGTAGAAACTTCGCTGACATTGGTAGATGGTGTAGAGCGGCCGTACCCAGTATCTACTCCCTTGTAAAAGGACTCCCAAGTCCCTTGTCTCTTGAATCTCCAGGAGTAGAATAAGCCCTCGCTCACCTCCCTGCTAATTTCAAATGGAAGATTGATAAAGTTCAGGAATTTTCCGATTATAAATCCTGAAGTGCGGTCAAGTTGGCCGGCATCTTTAGCTAAATCATCATGTAACTGTTTCCTGTTATATTGATGAGAAATAAGCTTTTCAAGCTGTAGAAATTGTCCAATTTCAACATGTTCATCTGCGAGCTGTTGTATCGTGCTTATCTTTACTGCACATATAATAGCAGCGGATGGTATCTTTCCCCATACTAAGAACTCGCCCCTACCATCATAGCCCCGGATACGCAGATTCTGTTCCCTGAAGAGCTTAATCGCGGGATATACTTTGGTATCAAGCTTTTTTGTGTCAATGATAGATATAATAGCTCCTTCTTTATTCCAGAGTGCTCTGTGGACGGGTGCAAGCATTGAGCGGAATGTAGATATGAATGGAGATGGTGTCTTTTCAATGTGGACATGGTTTAAAAAATAGCCAGTAAACTCTTCTTGACATATATCTTCTGGCATGAATATTTGGCGTCCATCTGCAAAAAGACCAGCTAGGAGAAGCGTTTTGGAATTAACACCTTGGCTGTCGATATTTGACCATCTGTAAATAACGGGAGGCACTTCGTCAGTCCAGCGCGGACGAGATCTCGGAGTTTTTTTCTTTTCTTGTGCTTCCTGCTGAAGTTGACATTAACGATTTTATTTCATGTTTATCAGGTACCAGGTAGCTCTCACATCTGAAATTTGTTCTTGCACACACCAGAAGCAGACTTTGTCACCGCCACTGCATAAGCTGATATCGATCTGAGTTATATCAATGGTTTCTGGCACTGGCACCTGTTCTTGCACTCCAGAAGTTTCCTCATTGTCGTCGACATAATTCGGAACTATGTGTAAGCCTAGTGACCTTGCAGTCCTTCTAATCCGTCTCAGAATTGGAATCCAGCGCCAATGCCCCTCAGATGTATGCTGCTGGACTTCTCTCCACTCCGGATATGCGTATCTCACCATTTCACCCCACTGCGCACGCAGTGTACTCGAAGGAATGCCTCCGGTAAACCCGCATTCTGTCACCTCCGGTCCAAATACTTGATTGAATATATCTCTAAAGGCGCTTGTATTTCTCTGAAAGAACTCATAGAGACAGCAGAGAAATAGTCTCTGTTCCCGAGTCCATCTGTTCTGAAGTCGTGGAGTCCTGTAATTAAGACCAGTCTCGAGCTCCATCGCGACAGTCAGGTATCAAAGGAGTAGGAAGATAATGTAAATGAGAAGTCTCGAGGTTAGGCTTCAGCAAAAGAAAGATGGGCCATAGAAATAGAGTGAACGAGAGATATTGGAGCCTTACTTCGAGCAGGGGACTTGTGGGTGTAAGAATAAGCGAGGAAAATCATAGCTATATGAGAGTGCCTACTGTTCAAACATAAGTTATAGTGGGGTACAAACTGATGATATTAGTGTCTGAAATCTGTGATAAGAACTCGGTGAGCTTGATATGAGAAAGATTATGCCCTTTATACTCTCTATAGGAATGAAAAGTATGGAACTCGATTGACTAGTAGTACTAAGTCAGTAGTAGAAGTAATACTGCTTTTAGAGATTGGTAGTAATGATGATACAAATAATAGTAAAAGCAGTTTAGATATATATATATATCAAGTCACGTGAAGACACATCGCAAAGCTACACTTGAAACTAACCATATGGAAGGCTTGATTTACGGCTCAAAAGGTCAACAAATGAAAAGACGAAGAAGTTATACATAGTAACATACTAGAAGTAACACCTTACTCAACTCTCATCTCTATCTCTTGTACAACTGTGAGAAAGATCATCCTTAACAGCTTGGTACGTATAGTTCGTCGGATAACATCATTGCGCCGACCCAAACAGCACTAGGCGGTTCCTAGCCTAGTTGGGTGCAACCGGGCGCTCCACTGCGATGCCGCTTTGAAGTCCAACATCCCGAACTGCCTGAAGCTCTCTCCCCGATTTCATAACTCTCCCCTCCTGTTCGCTTGACCGCTTCAATCCTCGAACCCCCACCACCCTTCCTCTTGGGGATTATCTGGTAGATCATCCCTGTCATACCGAAAGTTCCGAACCCCCTCCCTAGAAGTCGGCACTTCAACCCGTCCCACTTCACTATTGACAGGTTGCCTAAGAATCACCAGTTCCGCGACATGGCAACTTGACGCATCATGATTATTTTTGGAATTGGTGTGGGCAAAGCATTCAGAACACAACTATAGTTTTGGTACCCTCTCATCTTCGATCGATCTGGTTATCGTTCCACCCCCGAAACCCCCCTCCACCTCGAATCCAGCTGCTTGCCAGATTCCCCTGATTTCTGTTTCCGACCAATTGCTGTGACGGAGGACAGCCATCTTTGAACATGTCTCAAAATTTTGAGAAGTCGGTGAAGGGAGCCACCAAGATAAAGGTTGGTAGGAGGTTCCGTGCCTTTTCAGGGGATGGATGATCTTGCGCAAGTGCTGACAATCTGGTCTTCATCAACAGCTTGCGGCCCCCAAATCCAAATACATTGAACATATTCTTGTTGCGACACATACAGGCGAGGCAGGTGTTGCAGAGATTTTTCGGACGCTGCAGCTTCGACTTCGCGACTCAACATGGACCATTGTTTTCAAAGCTCTTATTGTTGTCCACTTGATGATAAGGGAAGGACAGCTGGACGCTACATTGCAGTATATGGCAGAGAACCCCAGAAGACTTGCGATCAGTGGATTCTCAGAAGGTGGGAGACGATCTCAAAACATGCACGAGAGATTGCTAACACCTAGCTGTTACAGTACAATCGCAAGGCCATAATATTCGAAGATATTCCGATTATCTGATCGCACGTGCGCGTGCCTTCGAAGATACAAAGACCGACTATGTGCGAAGCGGACAAGGTCGAATGAAGAGACTGACAGTTGAAAAGGGACTTCTGAGGGAGACAGAAATAGTTCAACATCAGATCCATGCACTGCTCAAATGTGACGTGGGTCATCTCATTCCTTCCCTTGCATCATGGCATTTATCACTGACATGTTTCAGCTTCTCACTGACGACGTCGAGAACGAAATATCGTTGACCGCATTTCGCTTACTGGTTTTGGATCTTCTGACATTGTATTCAGTGATGAATGAAGGAACAATAAACGTTCTTGGTAGGTGCTCTGCTTAGCAAACCCACGGCATGCGCTGACTGGACTGCGCACAGAGCATTATTTTGAAATGTCGCGACCCGACAGCGAACGTGCATTGGAAATATACAAGACATTTACTGCCCAAACGGAAGAAGTTGTGAAGTTTCTGGGAGTTGCCAGGCATTTCCAGGCTGCGACGCGATTGGAGATCCCCAAGCTCAAACATGCTTCTACGGATCTGACGCGACTTCTGGAGGACGATCTCAATGACCCGGATTTCAACCTTCGCCGGCGCGAATATTTGGCACGAAAGCAAGGGAAGAGCGGCGGAACTCCTCCGCCTGTGAGTAAAACTGCGACAGGCGATCGGGCCGTGAGCAACTCGAATACTATGCCGGCCCGGCCTCAAACCCAGCCGAACCCACAGACACAGAAGTCAAACCAATCGGATCTTATCGACTTCTTTGATTCAATCGAGCAGAATCAGCAGCCGATGGCCCAGACCAATCCGTTCCAGCAAGCGCAATTACAGCAGCAACCGCAGGCGATGCAGTTCCAGCAAACCGGATTTCCACCGCAGCAGCAGCAGGCCTTCTACGCACAACCGACGGGCTTCCAGCAGCCCCAACCCACTGGGTTTGACCAACAAGCGGCGTTTGGAAACCAGTTTGCGCCGCAGAATATCCAGCAGTTTGGCCAGCAGCAGCAGGCCCCCCAACCTCTTCAACCCAACCACACGGGGGCCGGATTTGGTGGTTATTCGGCGCAGCCCCAGACATACGGGTTCCAGTCAAACCTCGCACCCATCCCACAACATGACATGAGCGCATTCTCCCAGCAGCAACAAATGCCAATGGCCCAGCAGCAATTGCAGCCACAGTCAACCAACCCCTTCAGACAATCAATGTTAATGAGCACGCCGACAGGATCGGCCACGCCTGCCACCCCCCTTAACCGCCAAAATACGAACCCCTTCGCACGACGTTTATCAACAGTCAACCCTCAGGTCGAAACCGGTGTTCCTCAAGCCTTCCCGCAGGCGCAGCCGCAAGCGCCCCAACAGCCAGCGCCACTTCAAGCTCAGCGAACGGGAACCAATCCGTTTGCCCGTGCGTCCTCTGTTCCCCCACCGCAGTCACAGGGCCTGCAACCTCCAGCTGCGGCTCCTCTGCGACCAAACCCTACAGGGAGCACGAATCCTTTCCGTCAGAGCGCCTTTGTGAACCAACAGACAGGCCAAGGGTGGCATGTCGGTGGACAACAGGGCACAATGGGAGGTTTGGAGCAACTGGACACTGTGCCAATATTCCCGCGCCCGGGGCTATCATAGCGTTGCTTACAAACAATTCTGATCTCTACAACGCCACACGGAAACAAGATAGTGTGTTAGGACATACCTATGTCTCCTTTATAATACTCTTTTTATTGACTTGCATTGGGTTTCTTGATTGAGTGTTTGAAAGCATAATGGCGGGGCTCGCAGTGCGGCCCCGACCGTTGACCATGTAGCGATAGCAGATGTCCAGTGACAAGACAATATAACAAAGGATTGCAGCAGCTTGAAACCATTTCCCGTTTGTATCTATGATAAGTAAAAAAACTAGCCAGTAATATGAGGGCAGTACTTGGGACCAACCTGCATGAGTGCCGGCTATCAGCAAGGGGAGATCGACGACCCGGCCCTTGTAAACCCTTCCTAGTCAACCCACGACGATCGATTGCTCGACTAACTCCCTGTGTAATTAGTCGCTCGCTCGGTCTGAGATCCTAGCCTTTACTGCTATAGAGCAACTGAATAGTCCCCGCATACGGAGTATAACTAATATGAGACTGACGACAAAGCGTGACTCCTTGGACGGGAAATTATGTGGCTTTCCCTCTAGGATTGATATTCAGTCAGCAATTTGGACACCGCTACCCATCAGGATGCATCCAGTACTATTGTGACCGTAAGATAGCCTTGTATACAACAGTTCGGGTTCATCGTTGATGCCATTGCTGCCATGGGGTCAATGTGGAGAGGGCCATCAGCAAGGCTTTCGTAGGACATATGCTGCCACTTTTGGCAGTCAAGTGAGTTCAGAATGGCTTCACACCCCAGATAACTAAGTAGATAACATCTTAAGGCCAATACAAGCTGAAGAATTAGGATACTTTAGCATCCACAGTACACTGGCTCTTAATTACTCACTCAATTGGCCATCGCAAACCTAATTGTGGTGGGAATAGTATGTTATTTTAGACATTTTTCCTGCAATCCAATCCCCAGTCAAGTCTACCTGATACTGCTCGAGAATGAGGGCAGAGTGCGCTTACTGCTGGCTAAGGAAAGTGTTCTATTACAGAAGTAACCAAGGCTGGTTACTTTGTTATTGACCATTTCTCCTCCTGCTCCTCGAGAAATCCGTCGAAATGTGTCATATCTCGTGGGTACCACGGTATATATTCTGGTATATAAAGGGTCTCCTTGCCTTCAACTTTCATTTAGTATGGATAGGAGCTGGTAAATACCCCTCACATTACTGCTACCAAACTCAATGGGCCTCTATAGACGTAGGCCTGCGCATTCCCAATGCTGGGCATAGTGTATCCAGCAGGTCTCTTTCTTTGCTTAAAGCTCAAAGAACGTCTTGAAGACAGCTATCATAACTATTAAGACTGTCCAGATTCTCTAAAAGAGCAGGGAGCCAGGCATAACGGGGTTTAGTTATGTGTCTGTTCCCAATGGTTCGTCTACAGAAGGATTACTATGATTCCCGAGCATTTAAACCCCAAGTTACAAAGTGTCCGAGAAAGGAATGTTTACTTCCTTTCAGCAGCAATATCGAGAGATTATAGCATGTGGTGCTAACGAGAAATGAGACAGAGAAATTGCACCAGATTGAATTCGTTGCTGGAAAGCTGCAGCGGCGAACCCAGACTCCCCAGTTTTTGCCTTCTCATGCAGCCGGGAAATCCGAGGTTCAATTATCGGATATTGCTTCTGAGCCAATGACTCGTGTTTTATTGAGAAAGCGAGGCCAATATCTGGGCATTAATAATATAATCTCAATCCTCCAACCTTCCTCGGCTATTACTAGTACTCTACTATATTTAGTGCCCTGCTCCGTCCGTCCTCTGTTAAGTCCGTTAGAAAGCAAACAACCGAGCATTTTGAACTCGACCACAAAGCCCAAAAAACCACCAATCCATAACTCTATAAACCACGCTAGATAGTAAAACTAAGTACTACTAGTAGTACTAGACAGCTTTCAACACGATCAAATCTCCGAGCACCCATCCACCACCAACCAATCAAACCCGCATCATTCATACGCACGGAACTTTTCATCCCGGTATGCCGGGCCAAGTAACTTGTCACCGGGTTTGAATCTCCGACGCGCCCAGACAATGTCCTCAAGTCCACTTTATCCACACTTAACACTCAACTTACACACACTCTTTCTTTTTCATCCAGGCGAAGCCGGCATTCCCGATCCATCACCTCTCAGCAGATGTGCCCAGACCTCAACCAACCCGCAAACCTGCGATCTGTTTGGTTGACTGTACCTTGGCGCGCATTGGACTGGATCAACTAACGGTGGACCGGGTGCAGACCGATCGGCTCGTTCCGATAGACATAAATTAAATCACAGTCCACGGGTGGGTTGATATGACTGCTAGTAGCCTAGTACTCCTTAGTTAGTAAGAAGTTGCCGCTGTTGGTGTTTCAGTATGAGTCTAGATAGAGTTTGATGGGCGTTGCGGGATCCGTGTTTCCTTCCTAAGTAAGTAACTAGATACTTGGTACTAGATAGGCTTCTTCTATGCGTATCTTCGTATAAGGGGTACGAGGTACGTGTTGTTGATACTGTGCTGCTGCTGCCGCTGTTTTTTGTGGTGAAGAATTGTTGGTCAAGATGGCTAGCTACTAGTCTAGCTAGTCGGTTTTAATCCTAGTTTGGCCCACCTAGAGAGTGGGAATCCATTCCGTATCCACTTCTAGATGTGTATATACCTACCGACTGAGTTTTGGGACTTGAGATGTTTACTCGTCGCTAAGAGTATATACCACTCAAAGATTTTTTCGATATTTTGAGTGATTTAATATACTAGCAATGAAGGTTTGGGATCGAGTTACTCCGGACTCCGTATGATTCTCTTTCTATCTAGTAGAGCACTGAGTGAGGAGCCACTTATATCCACGCCCAACCCCTTTTGCACATCCAGCTAACCCAAAGGATTGGCCCTAGCCCAGTAGCAAGCGGATATGACAGCCGTCATCATCCCAAAACATTCTTTGTCCCGTGCTTCAATCAAGATGAGATATATCGGAACTTCTCGTAAAATTTTTCTCTCCTCGGCGTTTTAGTCAGCGGATGCAGGATCGCCGTGACACACTAGTCAGTTAACTAACTACTTAGTAGTAACTAAGCAACTGACTGAATTAATTAGTTAGTTAATATCATTCGTAGCGATATATCTACCAAGCCACAACTACAATATCATCGTAATACTACACAGTGATAAAACTGCATATTGGTCCTAGCGTGCGGACCTGAGTGCCCGATCTGGATGGAGTCTTATGGAGACTAATGAGTAAATAGCAAAACGCCCACTAGTTACTACGTGGTTAGGGACACATGCAGGGAGACCGATTCGGACGTAACCTGGCGGCCATGTTGCGGTCAAGTTTAGTAGGCCACAACACCTCCCGATGTAACTCTGTGCAACTGCAACGATAACAAACGGGAGGCATGTACATTTGAGACTGGCCTGACTCGTGTGCATGAAATCCGCAGGGGAAAGTATGTAAGCCAACGGCACATACACAGAGGAAAGGAGAGAGGGAGGGAAAAGTCACGGGGAGCCAAGAGCGGATTGTTGGTTTTTATCCCTGTATACTTCAAGTATGGGCGATCGCTGCACGAAAGGTAGCAGTCAAGGCGCAGTGCAGGTAGATGCAGGCAGCATAGCATCCTGTGCGTGCTTTTGCTGTTTGGTTGGCGGGTTGGCTGGCTGAGTGGCTGTTGGGGCGTTGTTAGTTTCTTGCTTACCACACACTAGTGGAAGGATCTGAGTGTGGGAAACCATGGTGTGAGAGTGAAACATCATCAAAGAAAAAGAGGACTATATGAAACCGAATATCAACAACACTAAATAGTTAATTACTCTATTAATTGTCTGGCAAACTTGATCTAAAACATAATAAGAACCGTTATTCCTTAGGAGGGTCGTACAAAGCGGAACGGACAATCTGGAATGACGTGCTCAAACCGTTGCGGTCAATCGTAATGGCGGTGGATCAAACCGTCTTGGCTCGATTTTAGTTTCTCCCCGACGGACGGGCGTGCCTGCCTGTTGGGAAAGGAGCCGGCAAAAGTGTCAGCCCTGAAGACTTTCTTGACATGACGTACGTGGAGTCGCAAGATTGATTGCCGTGGAGTCGGGCAATCGACAGATATTAATATATCTCTGGCTATGTTGGTGGTTGACTGGCGATGCACAATTATATTGAGCACACTTAACCGAAGTGGTGTTCTCGGTGTTCGGTTGGTCTGGAAGGGGAGGAGATACATCATATTTTTGACCGCGCAAGGAGAACCCTCCAAAACGATCCAGGAGGGAATATTTGTCCGATCTCCTCCGATCGGAGAGAGTGGAGCCCGCCGGTTTGTTATGGGTTTTTCGGATGTCTCCTGCTGGTCTTGGGGCTGGATTTTAACTTCCGACTAACGCGGTTTTCTGTATGTGCCAGAGAACCCGCGGAAGTACGGGGGGGAGAGGAAGAGGAGGAGGGTTGTGCCTGAGTGGTCAAATGATTAGTGTGTGTGGTTGTGTGTGCTTACGGTAGTATCGATCAAACATGTAGGAAGTAGTATCTCATCACACATTCTCATTGTTTGTCTGAAAAGTTCGATACTATCTATCTGATTCCTAAGGTGCATAACAAGTCGGGGCACTACTTTCTGGATGATATTAAATGTGGTCGCCCCTACTATTAATAACCTGCGGATACTCGTAATGCAATGTATTACTCATGTTTAGAGTCTCCAATTCGCATCGAGAATTTTTAAGTTGCTGCTCCACCCGGCACCGGCTACTGCAACATCCGAGATCTGGACCTCGTGTCTATTCTGTTGCAGTCATTGTATTGTTGTTCATTATGAGGGATTACCATTGTTGTGCGCCGTTATCATAATATTGTTTCGACCTTATTCTGTGATTGATCGAAGAAGCGATTAGGAACCTGTCAGGGTGACTCGTTTATGTACCTGTGCCTGCATTTGTTCCGGTATTGTTGGCCGCCAAACAAACCGATCATTGGCTACGCGTCCAGACAAGCAGAAAATTAGAACGGGAAGGAAAATAAGGGAAAAAAAGGAACGGGGGTTAAGAAAAAAAAAAAGGGAAAACAAGGAACAGGAATTAATCTCCTCGACTGGCTGCTTGATACTTTCTGTTTTCTTTTTTTCCTTTTCATTTTTTATCTTTTTCAAAATTTTTTTTTCTTCGCTGGGCCTTACCCAATTCGAGTTCCTTGTCCCCTCCACTTTGCAGCCCCTCTCCTCCTCCCACTCAATCAATCAATCATCGGCCCTTCCCCAATCACTCACACTCTCACTCCTCGTTATTACTATCACTTAGTACTACCACTACTTCTCTTTCGGCATCCTTCCCTTCCACCTCCTCCCTGAACATCCACCTTCCGAGAGATGGGCTTTTCCTGATAAGGGCAGTGCGCTGACCATTCAGCTTTTCCCTCTTTCATCCATCCTTTCACCCCCGGATTCTTCTCTCATCATCCTCAATTCCCACCTTCTGCCTAAACGGTTATCGTTCGATTTTCGCCCATTCTAGAACGATGAACGTCGATGAAGATCGCCAGCTGGATCTGTGAATAATACTTTTAGACTCGCGCGTGCGATGGACGCTAGAAATTCCCACCTCTATCAGCCAACGGCGCGCTCTTTGGCCACCGACCACGAGCACGTCTTGCCTGTGCTGAGCAAACCAGCTGCTTGGGCCCCTCCCACCACTGCTGTCCATCCGGTTACTATTAATAATAATACCTATCAACATCCTCATCATCCCTACAATTATCCGATCTCGACATCCAGCCAACCGTTGGCTTATGGCCCTGTCCCGCCGCCGCCCCAGCAATCACTACCTCCGGCCCCCGTCCATGCCGACGCGCAGACCTTCACCACCGAATCTACCCGGCAGGATGTAAACAGGAACGGGGTCACGAAACCCCGCAAACCGCGGAAGTCCAACAATGCCGCCGCGGGGAAATCGACATTGTTCTGGGTGCATACCGATCCACAGTCCGTGTCCGAAGGTACCAGGGAGGAGACACTCAAGCGCATTCGTTCCCATGTTATGTCCGAGCACAACCGCAAGAAAAGGCTAGAAAATACGAAACGCTACAAGAGCAAAACCTGGAAACACCTTGCCTTTCAGCCCGTGGAAACTACAGCCTCCAGTTCGTCAGCTGCAGCTCCGGCTTCTTCGGCCCCTTCTACCGGATCCTTCCCGAAACCAAGTGTCACCGAATCCTCCTCCTTCGGCACGCGAATTGTCTCCGATTCTCCCTCCTCTTCTTCTTCATCCTCTGGTTCATCATCGCCCGAACAGCGACAGAAGGAAGTACCGCAGCAAGAGCTGGTGGTTACGGACGCGGGCAGTTACCCAGCTGTTTCTGCCGAGACAGTGGACAACTACAGCAACGAAACTCCTTCTTCGCAGAATGCTCTCGCGCCCGTGCAGTCTGCAACTCCGTGGGCTTATTTGGGCGGTGCCACCGACCCGTTCAATTCGATGCATACGGTCATGTCGGACCGTATGTGTCGACACCTTCAGCACTGTAGGTTGGCTTACAATAGTTTGAAAGGCGTAGTTCTAACGATCTTGTGCAGTTTTCGACCTGACTCAGCAGGCATATCCTCTGCAGCGCCGGTATGGACCTAAGTTGCGGGATCACTGGACCGCATTAGTCCAACAAGATCCAGTATCATTGCACGCTTGTATATGTGTAGCGGCGTCGAATTCCGCCTTGGCAGCAGGGGAGCTCCCGCTGACGGACCCCAATAAGCGGCGTTCTAGCGTGCTACTTCTGGACACATTCCACCATCGGGGTGAGACAATCAAACTAGTCAATGAGGGATTGTCGGATCCGATCAAGGCCTCCAGTGACCAGCTGATCGCCGCCGTGTCAATCCTATTGACGATTGAGGTTCGTACTCTAGAAAACTCATGCCAGAGGTTAGCTAACGGGTCAGATTGCATCTGGCAATGCCGACTATCTCAAAATCCATCTGGCGGGCCTCCGGCAGATGGTAGGTATGAGGAAAACCTTCGCGGATGTGCCGCCCGACGTTCGATTCCAGATATCATGGTCAGTTTAACCCAAGCTCTGGTGGAGTCTGTGGGCCGCGACTGACTCGAGTAGGACTGACATCCGTGTGGCGTGCATGGCCGGCACCAAGCCCATATTCCCTTTTATTCGTTACGCCCGTCCCTCGCAATTGGCACTTATGCCTCCTAATGACGATCTACTAATTTTAGCTACGCGTTTGACACAATTAATTGAGATACCCGGCATCTTTGGGGATGCCATGTCCAAGATGATATATGACCTGGCTGCATTGACGTGGTACTGCGAATGGATCAAAAGTACAACGCAATACCAAGAATTTGACGATGAGACGGAGGACTACTTCAACACCGAAGTCCTGTACGTCGAGTACTCCCTCCACGAGGACCGTTACACGGCGACAGGCGAAATCAAGATGGAAGCCACCATCGAAGGCTGCGTTCGGCTGGCATGCCTGGTGTTCCATAACACCGTCATTTGGGGCTTCTACCCGCACATCGCGCCGGTGTTCCCCAAACCTGTGACTGCGCTTCGTTTAGCGCTGGAAAGCACGATGAGTGCTGGATACTTTGAACTGTGCCGGGATGTGCTGATCTGGATCCTGTTCATCGGGGCGTGCAGTTCGCGGCTGCTACCGGAGCGGACATTTTTCGTGAACGAGCTTGTTTCGGTACTGCGAGAAGACGGAAGCATCCACTCGTGGCAGGAACTCCGAGCCCTACTTCTGGGCTTTTTCTATGCGGACCGGAGTTATCTGACTCCGCTACGAGAACTATGGGATGAAATTGAGATAAAGCTCCGCGCACCGCACGAATGTATATAGACCCGACATAACACTCAAACATAGGACTGATCGCATGTTACATGTGGCATGTATGATATATTAATGAGACACGGTATATATGACACTGCTGCCATTAGTTCTCACGGTTCCCATAGTACTACTCCTTACCCACACATGATCCCTTGATAGTAATGAAAACAAGACGATCAACCAAATACCCACCATCCCAGATATCACCCCATCCGGGATCCTAACCCGACCAAGCCCGAAAACAGGACAGTAAGCCTCAAAAACCAAGCCTTGTGCAAAAATCCCTCACCCATAGCAATCGATCAAGCAGCTGCCTCCCGATGACACACCCCCAACCAGCCACGCCCTCTCCCACACCAACAAAAGAAAAAAGGGAAAAAAGCCCCCCAAACACGAAAAACATGATTGAAGAAAGCCTTGCAGAAAAAAAAAATTCAGAAGAAGAATCCACTAACACGAACACCAACTACATAACAAAGTCCACCGAAATCCTTTCCACATCGGCAGAACCCGGACAGGAGCAGCGGATTGGACGATCGATCGGGATCAGTTTAACTAAAACTACTACGTAGTAGTAATGAACTACTAACTAGTGCAGGTGAGGTTATTTTTCTGACATTTCCGAGAATTCGCCGTCCGAGCTATTCCCGCCCGAACGCCGAGTCTCTGCCGTCGCGCCGGTCGGTGAGATAAATACTTAGTTACGTCTTGGTCTCGATTGCTGCCAGCCTTGCGCTTTTTTTTTTTTTCTTCTCTCTCACTCTATTTAATCCTGTCTTCAGATTATCCCTTATCTGTATATCGGGCAAATATTTCCTTATACTCTGCACGGAGTGTGTGCATTGCTTGTTCAGAACTGTCTACTGCTGCTATATACTATATCCTATACACTAACAAAGTATATTCACAAAGAGAGTGAACAGAACTACTACTACTACTACTAATTGACAGGAAACGGCCCGTTCAACTTACACTCACTTGCCTTTGATTGAACTCGTTCATTTATTCCATGGTTTCATACTTGTGCAACGTCGGAGAGTTACAACGTTGACGGAGTATGAGCGACCGGGATATCTTTGTTTCCTGCGGTCGGGAATTACTACTAACTATTGAAGCTTTTCTTCGAAGGTTTGAGGGTGAAACTGCATTGTGTTGCGCTGCGTGCAGGTTATAGTTTCTTGCTTTCTTTTTCTCTTTCTTTTCTTATTTACTCTTTCTTTGTTTGGGCTCCGGTATATAAGGTCTTTCGGGACTGCGCGAGACTTGTGGGTGTCGTTGCATGTGTTTGTTCATGCTCAGGGTGAGGATGGGTTTCAATGGTAGGTAGGCTCACTAGCATGGACTTATGGTCAAGCTGACATCAATCATGTATTCATTCAAGGTTAACCATTTCATTAACAAAAAACCAAACATCCAAAACCAACGCGTCCCATATCCGTCGCGCTCGACGACGAACTGCTCCATCATTATTACCCAGGTTCCGATATTATTTATCCCAATGGAAACCAACACAATAAACAAAACACTGCTCTGGATTGTTCGGACCCGCTGCAGAGGGCTTGCATGTCTTCACAAGACCCTCTCAAATGGTCTACAACCTGGACCATTCCCCGCACAGCAATGGCCTTACTAGAATGGGTATCTGAAACATAACAACTGCAGGTGTATTACTCTTTCTTTCAAGAGGCTCTTTTCATCGCGACCATGTCGATGGCCTGGACCCACGCGACTGGCTTAGACGGTCTCACGAGGGGTCTTAGCACGGCTACGGGCAGTGGGAGACCAGGGGAAGTGAGCAACAGGGATGATGAAGAAGCTGTTGCTGCTGTCGGCAATACCAGCCAGGGCGTTGTACCAAGCGGCGAATGCAGCCAGGAGACCGAAGAAACCACCCGCCTTGATGACGGGAGTGTTGGGCTCGCCAGCAGAGTTCCGCTGCAGGTAACCAACACCAAGCAGCAAGAAGGTCAGGTCCAGGAACAGGAAGAGGCAGAAGAAGGCGACAGTGGACCTCAAGGTGCAGAACAGCAGGATGGTGGTGAAGATGAACCAGCCCTAAGGAGGACAGTTAGCGCGATGCTCAATCTCCCAGCCATTGCTCAAACTTACCAGCAGGTACAGTCCCATCGAGTTGTAAAACATGGTGGCGCCACCGGCGGATTCAATCGACGACTCGATCTCGAACCCACCGGGGGTCAAGACAATGGCGAAAGAGATCCAGAAACCTCCGTAGGAGGACAGAGCAGTGGCACCGAAGGTGTTTCCGACAGCCATTTCCCTATCCAGAACGATCAGCATAATTCACCTTGGAGTTGTGGTAACGGGGTGTACCTACCACATGCCAGCAAGCAACTGAACGAGACCACCATATCCGAAAGCCAGACCAACGACAATGTTGTTCGCAGAGATACCACGGGTTCCCATGTTGATCAAACTAAGGAGGAAAGTGGTGAGGGCGAAAGCGCAGAGACCCAGAGGCGCCGGGTTGGCGAACTTGCGCTGCTCGACCGACTTGTACAGACCAGGCTGGAATTCACCTCCGAAGGGGCGCAGGTTGGCCTCCTTGGTGTTGACGTGAGCCATGGGTCCGTAGCCGAAACGCGCAGCAGCTCTGGCGGTTTCCTCAGCGGTCAACTCATGGGTCAAGGGAGCACTGCCGTTGCTGCCGTTCTCAGGAGCCATATCCTTCTCAATAGGATGTTCAGCAGACATGATGATTATCGGGAGGAGATAATCCGATCAAGGATCAAAAGGTATAGGAGGGAGATTGATTATAATGGTTTAAGATCAAAGAGCAATCCAGCTAGCTGGACGGTGGAGGGAGATGAATATATATGAAACCACGGAGAGGGGAAGGGGAGGAGGTAAAAAGAAAATGATGCGCACAGCACTGCTGGCCGGATCAGCAAGATATCTTGACGACGACGGGGGACCGTGCAAGATGTAAGAGGAATAAATAGAAGCAGTGAGGAGAGAGAACAAGGGAGAAGAGGGGAAAAGGCGAAGGTCAAATAAGAAATAGGAAGTGGCCCGGCCTGACAGTGCTTTTCGCTGGGATTAACGGACTTTGGGATGAGACCCAACCCGGACGAGCGAAGGTTGCAGGGAGCCAGCAATTCTACCGGATTTGGGAGGAAGCACCGTTAGTTGAGTTTAGCCTGGGATTTTAGTTGGTTTGGTAAGTCTCCTCTTTTTTTTATTTTATTTTATTTTATTTGATTCTCTATTTTATTTTAGTTTATTTTCATTCGACATTTTTCTCCATGGGATCCGTTGGTTGGCGTTGATCTGAGCAAAATTTGGGAAATTTTCTTTTTTTTCCTCTTTCCCCCTCACCCCATCTGTCTTTTGGGGGCTTAATCTTGGTCTGTTATTATTTCATCATATTATTATTTATTATTACGGTGTCACCATGATTTTTATTACTTTATCATGCTTTGTCGGCGATGCGCAGGAGTGGAGCGGCCGAATTTAGCGTTGGCTTTTAAAACGATGTGCAGGAATCCACCTGACGGGCCACTCCCGTGTGTGAATGTCCCTAATTGACGACTAGAAGCCAGACTAACACAATGGGTCTCGCTGGCGAGAACTTGGACGCCGTTCACCACCACCGCCATCAGAGACAAGAGGGAGGCGCCGATCCTCCATCATTCTGCGGTATTCTCTCCGTTCGTCCATGAACCTCCCATTGGAGGTATGGAGGATTAGACTTTCCGCAACCATGGGCAAGCGGGGGAGAAGAAGGGCTTTGCCATCGTCTCAGAGGGCTGTTTAATTACCTAGGTTAATGGGATGAAGGGAATAACCCCATAGGGCCCAAATGCAGGGTGGAAGGAACATGGCTCCATTCGTCCAGCAAGGGCTGCAGACTCACACGCGCACAACCTCTCAGATGGCAAATCCTTCGTGTGTGTGTCTCTCTCTCTCACTTTTCTCTGCTAGTCGACGACCGGGTATCGCCTAAGAACGATTGACTTTCCAAGCCCGGGGAAAGCAAGGGCAGGTGGAGATTAGAGGCGCCCGAGGTCTGGGGAAACAACCAATGATGATAGTGAAAAGCTGCCATTGGAGACTCGACCTCCGAGGCCTGCGTTGTTATTGGTGTAACCCATCAGATGTCTTCGGCCGTAGTGCTGCCTTAGTACTAAGTCAGTAATACGGTAAAATGGATGTATCTCTCTTTCTGAGCTGGAGTGGTTGTTGTTGTTGTCTCTCTCCAACTGACTGCTACTTGGGTTCTCTCCAGCTGCAATAATAACTGTGTACATTCCAGGTCTCATGCCATATGGTATGGATTATTCCACAATCCTTGTATGTTTATGTATATCATATTATGGGGCTCTATAGATTATGATTGCCATCTCGTATGATGTGGTGCTTTCCTCGTTTACCCGTGCTTTCTTTCTTTCTCTTCCCTCACTACCAGCCACCCTCCTCCCTATTACTAGTAGTGCTGTAGTCCCTCGTAGTGCATCTACTAATCGATCGCCAAACGGTGCGGCTGTTCCCTCCTTCAAAGGGTACGGGTAAATTAAATTACTTACGAACATCAGTCTCCAGCCGGATCATCCGCGGAGTGTGCTGTCACTTCCATTACTGGATGTCACCCCCAAGCCAGTGAGTACTTACTCTGTTTGTAATGTGGCTCTCGTGGGAATTCCTCAATTTTGAATCCCATCCATCATCACCCAGAGTTACGACGTTGATGGTATGTCTCTTCCCTATCTATCTCTCAGTTTCTATCTTCGGATCTCTTGCGAGGGAAAATAAAGGGAAAGAAAGTGACCATCCATCCAACAACCCCAGCAGTTCCCTTCCCTTTCCGTCTAATTTAGACTGCACTGCACGATGGCCAAGTAGCATCTAACCCGAGAAGCTGAGCCCACGCCTCATTGCCGCAAGGAGGTGTGACCCCGACCGAAGATGGACCCAGTTCTGGTCCCATAGAAGCTAAGGGTTAGTCTACATTTAGTTGGACGCTGTGGCTCATTGGAGAAGTCCTAGCTGGCTGACTGGTGGAGAGAGTAGTAAGTAGTAGTAGTACAGTTGCTTTGGCAGGTGCGGTGATTGCGGGCCCTTACCTCTCGCATCACTTTTGCTGCTAAGTTACTACGTACTGCGACGGGGACTGTGCCTAACTGAGGTTTAGTAGTTTAGTTAGCTGACCCGGCTGCGACCGTACCTGCTTTTTTGCTTACATGCTTGCGCTTGCTGAGCAATCACTGATTGATCCCAGGGTGGGTAGGGGGAATGGGACCGGGCCCGAAATCTGATGCTTTCCGAGTCTCAAACCGAAGGGTCAGACCGTTCTCTCCAAGCGCCCTTAATACAAACTACGGTCCTAGATGCAGTGTGGGATGCAGGCAACGCGGCTGTGTGGGTTTGCTCAATATGCTTAATCTTCCTTTTGAGCATCCTCTTGAGGGAATTAATTCCCTGCAGGGTATCTATCTGATATTCATTGCTTTATCCCAGTATTCTGACTCTTTGTAGTCTACAGTTGGTTCGATTTCAGCGGAAACCACGGAGAACTTTCTCCCCGTTGATCGCCGTGACGTTGAGCATAATTCCGGTACATGCGACACTATCAGTGATTGTCCGCGTAACAGCAAAAGGGAAAAAAAAAAGTACGATGTTGCTATCGGCAGGATCAGCATTTAACCTAGAGAGTAGCTATCTTCATGCTACATCGGACTAGATACTGCTAGACACGAGACGAACACTTCCATCTGGGTCGACCCCCATCGGCTCCAGATGGGTAGATTCCCCGTGTGCGGCGGTGGCGGATGCCACCCGACGGACAGCGATTCTGGATCCTGTGGGAAATACTACGAAAGAGGTTTGGGGATAGACTCCGTTCTCGGTCTGTTTCGTCGCGGCACAAAGGGACGCATCCCCACTTGGAGCACCTCTTGGCGACCGTTCTGCCGCGTCGCCGATTTTCTCTCTTCTTTGCCTGTTCGTGTCAAGCTCAAACTCGGAACGTCGCCAGCCGCGTCTCCGAGTTGCTCCCTGAAGCAGCTACCCAGCTACCAGCTTCCCCCCCCTTATTCTCTCCCTCCTGCCTGCTCTCCCGTCCACAGCCTCAATTGATGGCGTACGAACAAGCTCAAACTGGCCCGGGACCCAGTCTCCCACTGCTCATCGTCATTTAAAATGAACCCCCCTTTGACACTTTTGACACTGACAGGAGGGTAATCCCTGAGCAAATGTCCGTTAAGCTAGTCGGATTGCAAATTAAACATTCAATAGTTAATCAGTCGGGTCTTTTGGAGGTGGAAAGCAGAGCTGTCAAAGAGTAATGAACCTCGCGCTTATCATAACAGTCATTATAACAACAATAACCATTCAGCCAAAGAGCTGCTTTCTCTCCAGCCACTAGTTTCGCACAACACTTGCTTGCACCATCACTTGGGATTTTCCTTTTTTTCCTTTTTCCCTTTTTTCCCTTTCCTTTTTCCCTGCGTACCTCGGCAGCTACGGAGTTCGGGTCGGGAAGTAAGCCGTAAAAATTTCTCTCACGCGGCAATTCCAACACGAGCAGAGCTACTACCATCCACAAGCTAGCTTGCTAGCTAGCAAGGGAGCAAGCATGCCAGGTACGACGCACACAAAGGAAAAAAAAACCTTCCTGCAGGGTTTTCTTCAAGAAGCGAGCGCGTTTCTCCAGCAACAAACGAAGCCAATTCTTCTAGAGCATTTAGTTCGCATCCCTTCCCTTCCTTAGAAGGTGTCCAAGACTCTCTACTCCGACCGGGAAGCTTGTTCCTAGCGAAGGCTGCCGGCAAATGCTATGCAGGGCGAGACTATGCAGGTCGCTGCAAGAAGACGGAGCACACCAACCATTAGCCCAACTAACTTAGCCTAGATACTAAGGACAGTAGACCACGGACACACACACCCATCTGTATCTAGTCTAGATAGATACAAGTCCCCTCGTATGACTCCCAGTCAACATGCGCTTGGGCTCCGCTCTAGATCGTGGTCCGGTCGTGCACTAATTCCTGCAGCCAAGAAATGAGCTGGGCCCCGAACAGGCGAATCATTCATCCTGCATTCCCTGTCCCAACAAATAAATTATCCACCTATCTGAACTCTGAGCGAGAATCAGAAAGAATCTTTCTTCTTTTGCGAAAAAAAAAAAAGCTCGGTCGCAGTTCGTCAGTCCATTCAGCTCAGCTTGTGCGGCGGGGCCCAAGGACTATCTACTAGTTAGTATATGGCGCCACTAGAGATACTCGCCTGAGAGATAGAAGATACGGGTACTGGATACCATCGCTAAATACCTCGTGGCGATGATGACAATGATGGAGTTTTATTGGGTGTGGATGGGAATGGGACATCTCAGCCTACGGGATCCCGGCCCGGGCACTTAGCTAACTAACTAGGTATCTCCATCTCACTAAGGTAGATGCGAAAGAAAAAGAAAAACTACAGTACCCACGATGGCTTCCTTCATGTGCTTGGATAGTTAATTAGTTAGTTACCTAGTTACTTACTTGGCTTTTTTTCTAAAGTATCTCCGTAGAGTCCGGAAAGATATCTGCCTAGTTAGTTAGTAGTCTACTATCTAGGCAAAACGCACGTGCACGAATCCATCTCCTGTCTTGGCTATTATATGATATTACGCAGTAATCCACTCCCATTATATCCATTATATTACAATATATTATTATCACACCTTCATTATTAAGTCTTTTATTCCGGTCTAGGCTGATTTAGGCCTGAGAAGCAATTTACCCGTGTCGGGGAGGTGTCTCAGTAGAATACTCCGTAGTACTAAGGATATGAGTGGTTTTGGTTATTTAGTAGTGCTTACCATGTCATTTTAACAGAGTACTTACTACGTAGACTAATGTAGGTAATCTGCTGGGTAAATGATGAGAACCCTTAAATGGTAGATTATATTTCATTAATATCGTGGTCTGAGTGGTTACGTTACCGGAGATGGGTTTGATTTGATTTGATTTGATTTGATTTCTTTGTGGGAAATTACTAGTAATGCATCATCATTTGGTTTGGTTTACAGTGGCTAATTAGGATGTGGAAGTGGAATTGAGCTACACGTAAAAGCTTAGACCAGTCGGGTTAGGCCGCTGTATATTCCATCTTGAGCATACTGTTGATGGAGATATCTTCTTTTCTTTTCTTTTTTTTTTTCTTTTTTTTTTTCTTTTCTCTTTTTATTTTTGCTTCTGCCTGTTTGGGTGGTGATTTGTTGGTATGATAATGGTGATCAATTTCGAATACACTGTACTTCACACACACACAAAGTGTGATATCACTAGTACTAAGCATGGTAACCCTATTCATACAGAGTAGATCCTGAAGATCCCATCTGACCGACTTCATTGTCCATGTATATTTTCTTGGTACTAGTAGTGTTATCATTGTGGATTCCATTTCATTCTGTGAGTGCCCTGTAGGGATTCAAGGTTTGATCGAGTTCTATCTATCTACTAGTAGTACTATCGATTATCTTGAGTTTGAAGAAAGGTTTATTCTACTATGATGTAATATAAGAAAAGAAATATATGTTTCCCAGTTGGTATATGTCCGTGTGACGGAAGATTTTTCCAATCTATTGAATGCTAATTTCAGTCTATTTCTTTTCTTTTTTCTTATCACATGTTGGCACATACACTACTGTGTATTGTGTAGGATTCTATTAATGGATTCATTATGCAGCTTGTGTACGTATCTTGCATTCTACTTACCCCTCATGGATATTCTGGAGATCCCCGTGGACAAATCTGATGTTTCGAATATGTGAACAGCAGATGAGGGGAACAATCCTGCAAGCACTGGATATTCGGAGAAGTATTATTTCTCCGCATGGTACACAGAATAAGCACATTAAATGGGTGGAAGAATATGTACCATATACATATGCATACCCACGTGGTGTATGTATTACTTAGCTCTATTGCTTAATCCCGTGTGAGTATCTGCTTGGTTGCCTATCTGCTGGTTCTGCGGGGGAATTGCAGCATTCTGGTGCGTTAGTGGTCCACGTCACTGTGTTCCAATTTTGGACTTGTTGATGCAGCTGAGGAGTTGCTTTTGCTTGAGACGGTATAATTTGGTACGTAGTATTTTCTCTTTTCTTTTTCGCACACGGCTCAAGGGATATATCCCTGCGTGTAGATATGCTACTTTGGGAAGGACATCCACTCACTGTATTCTGGTACGGGTCTACACATAGAAATGAGGTATGACTACCCTGTCGACGATCAACTGTCTGGGCAAAGGATCTGACTATTGATGATGGGCAATGAGCACGGTCGTGGATCGATGACTGCGTAGGGATGTTGGGGAAGACAGCCTGCACAAGGTCACGGGATGATGGGAAGTGAGGGGGATCGACGGCTTATCGGAGGGAGGGGATTTTGAATCTGATATTGCTGATCGAGCTGACACGACGCCCTCTAACGCTGCCGACGCTCTAATTTCGCTAGTTACGGGTGATCTTACAGATTCAGAGATGACAAATCGGGCGCATCTTTCTGAGATTGCTTGGAGAGCAGCACTTGCAAGGTCAAACCATGGATGATGTTCCTTGCGTCCGGACCGCCCTTGTTTGGTGTCTGGTTGGTTCCACATCCACGCTGCTGGTACCGAGACCCTGGAAATTGGGCTGTGGATGGCTATTGTTCCTTGGGTTCTGCCTGGGGTCTGGGGATTTCCCGTTCCCCGCGGCCACTGTGTAGAGGTGGCTTGGTATAGATCCTGCCTGGGCAATCGACAAATGATGAGACGCGTTGCTCTATACCCTCGGCTCGGCGGAGCGGAGAAACAGACCAAAATCTTACGAGTTCGAGTTTGAACAAATCTGGAGCTCTTCTTCCAAGAAGCTATGCGCCACAGTTGGAAGGACTCGTATTAGGGTCCACTGCAGCTGAGAGGGGATATTCCACTTTTCTCATGTTCTTGCTTTTTTCGAAGGTCTGTCTCTCTTTGTCCTTCTTGAGCCTGGTCCCCGCCTGCGGAGATGCGGTGACCTGAATGCTCGGATATGACTGGCTGGGAGATGGTTCCAGAAATCCCGGCAGTGCCGTGCTTCTGGTAGTACACTTGCCGTATTGCTCATTCAAGGTTTAGAACCCGCCTGGGATTCAGCAATGATGCAATTCTTTTGTGTGTGTGTGTAGTTTTCTGCTCTTCGCTTCCACCTTCGTTATCTCTACCACGCCCAATTTTGAGTTACATCTGGTGGAGTACGTCGGGGACAATGGACATTGTATCGAGGTTGGGGAGCGAAGGCGGCTGGGGCAGGAAAACCGGGTTTGTCCCATGGCCAGTTGGGCCGGTCCACATGCGAGTAGAATCTTCGAATCTGAAGCGAAAGTAGGATTCAGTCCAAGTGCTTATGGCTCCATAGTTCATGCAACAAAGCGAAAACAGCAGGTAATCTTCACTTACTAGTCAGTAGATGGCTAGATAGGTAGGTTGCTGGAGTCCCGTGCCGTCTAAGCACGACGCCTTGTAGATCTTCGTCTTTCACCCACGCGCCTTCGGGCTATCCTAGCCCCATCACCACATGCCAACCAGGTGGCAAGCTAACATAGTAACAATTCGTTCAAAGTCAATCACAGCCGGCGTTCGTGACGATCTTTGGTGGGATTGATGGTTGGATCGAGTGATGGTGTTTGTTGATGTGGGGAGGAAGATCTACAGAAGAAGCGGTCTGGCATCCTCCCGGTTTCCTCCCCAGCAGAGGCAGTGCCACCACCGAAATGGCGTCAATGACTATCGAGGGTCCAAGTGGAATCAAGTGGATTCCTCGGCTCTATCCTTCGATAGTAGGAAAGCGGCAGGGTGTTGAGAAATCTTCGAGACGAACTGTCGTTCTCCATGCGCTTCACCGACTCGATAGTGGCATTTTGACTGATTCCAGGAATGACAAATTTGTTGATAGACCAGATGCCACTCCGAAAATCGTGAACTGCAGTGATCGGGGTTTGCTGTCGCTGAATGGACGAGCTTCTGCTCGTTGCTTTTGCTGATGGCGCACGAGCATGTCAAACAGAAAAGGAAACAACCCAAACAAGCAAAAATCTCGCCGACCATCGTCACTGCCACTTGTTGATCTCGACTCTCTTCTCTCAATTGCTCAATTTACTCTCTCACAGCCAGCGCAGTTCAAAACGCAGGATAAGATACTTCCATAGACTATACCATCACCATAATGGTATCCGCTGGAAACTGCTGCTCCGACTGTGATCTTGCTCTGCTGAAACATGTGCGTGAAGGCGAATTGCTTCACGACGACTGAAAGCATTCCTAATCAGAACGTGAAAGACAGACTAACAGTATAGAAGCTATGGTTGCATACATGCAGTCCATCTACAATACCGCTATGCTCTACCTCGGTCGCATCGCACCCAGATGGTCCTCACCACATTCTCATCGAGCCATGACTCGGTAGCTGGGCAAGTCTAGACTTAGTATTATCGAAAGAACATCCGAGGACACGATGCGCCGAAGAGTGATAAGGTGCCCGTTATCATCTTGACAGACGCCGCGTCGTGCGGGGTTGATAAGCTGCTGGCTCAAGACATCCCCGTGAAAACCGGCTTACGACCTTCTCTTTCTGGAGCGATCATCCTGATAAACCTGACATTCAGGGTCTTTATCAGTTGTATCAATCTCTACCAGTATCTGTATTTCCTGACTAACTTCAAAGAGAAGGTGCATTGCGCGCGGTCTGTCAGACGATGCTGATTGATATCGACTGGCCAGCTGCCACTCAAAGTCGGCTATAGATTGCAAGCGTGCTGACGTTTGAAACATTGCCCATGTTGCATCCAGAGAATCTAAACAGTCAAGGAAATGATCTGAGTTGCGTAGATTCAGCTGTAGGGAAGACTTTGAGCTTTTGCAGTGATCGTATTCTCCGATCAACTTAATCCGATACTAATTGATAGTTATAGAGGTCCGTGTGTTATCAATCTCCATATAGGTCAAAGCAGCACAAGGCATGATTTTGAATAGCCGCTAGTTTGTTAAGACAGGACCTGGGAGCCAATCAAGACAACCAGGAACTACAATCAGTCGGCCGAGCACAGTACCTTTTCACGATTCGCAGGCGCTTGCACAAGCATATCATGGTTATCAGTGCGATAGCATTTCCAATCACTTGGAAGTTAGCGGGGTATAAGAAAGGTGCTGAGATATGTCTTCACCTGTGAAGTATCTCATGTTCTGTTAAAAACAAGGCCGAGCCACGTACACCCATCGAGGACCATCAGATGAGAAATATGGCGGAAACCATGACGGTTTCGACATCAGGAAACAATGAAAAGTTTGTCGCCACAAGTGCAGTTGACGTCGAATCGAAGGCAGACGGTCATGTATCCTTTGGCCAGGCTGATGCAGCATTGGAGTACCTTCGTGCTGGCGAGGTGGCTACTTTCTCTGATGTAGATGAGAAAAAGCTGCTTCGAAAGATCGATTGGATGGTTGTGCCCCTAATGTGGGCAATCTACTTTCTGCAATACCTAGACAAGATTCTAAGTCAGTGTGACGTGACGACGTGCTCTATTCGATACAGAAGCTGACCGGGTTGCAGTCAATTATGCATCCGTCATGGGCCTTCTTGATGACACTGGCATGCGAACAGACCAGTTCTCAAACCTCGCTTTGGCGTTCTACGTGTCCTACCTCTTCTTTGAACTTCCAACCGGATATTTCATGCAGCGTTTGCCGACAGCAAAGTACTTGGGACTGAATGGTGAGTGACTTAACTAATCCATTTTGGCAAAGCTGACGAATAAGTGACCCTCTGGGGCCTTTTGACAACTCTCAATTGTGTTGCGAAGAACTTCCCCGGACTCGTCGTTCTTCGAGTGCTCCTAGGATGTTTTGAAAGTGCTGTAGCACCTGCGTAAGACACCATCTGATGTAGCAAAGGCTCGCCTGACGAGATTAGATTGATTCTGATAACCTCCATGTGGTACAAGAGAAACGGTATGCAATCAACCCCGCTAGTTCACATTCACTAACCTAGTGAAGAACAACCTAAGCGCATCGGTTTCTGGTACCTGGGCACAGGCACCGCGACCATAGTAGGCGCCCTCGTTGCATACGGGCTGCTCTTCTACGAAGGGGACAAATTCTACTCCTGGCAGATCATGTTCCTGATCTTTGGGCTCATTACTATCGCAGTCGGAATCACGGTCATTGTTGTCTTCCCAGACAACCCTATGAAGTCCCGGCTAAGCCATGAAGAGAAATTGATGGTAATTGAGCGTCTTCGCGAGAATAGGACGGGTATTGAAAACAAGAACTTCAAATGGGGGCAATTCTTCGAGGCCTTTAAGGACCCTCAGACATACTTGATTGCTATAATAATTGCCTCAGGGAACATCAGTAATGCAGCCATCAGCAGCTTCTCGTCCCTGATCATCAAGAACTTCGGTTTCGACACCAAGGAGACTGAACTGCTCACGATACCGGGCGGCGTCGTCAGCGTGATTAGCATCTTACTCGGTACATACTTGGCAGGCCGTTTCGACCAGCGGTGTTTTTGCATTATCGGCATTCTATGTTCGGGCCTCCTTGGAGGTTGTCTCATGGCATTCGCTCCGAGTGACAACAAAGGCGCCAAATTGGCAGGTAACTACCTGACCAACTGCGTCGGCGCAGCACTTCCCTTGCTCTATTCTACCGTCGGGGCGAATGTCGCCGGTCATACTAAGAAAGTGACCATGAATGCAATAGCCCTGATGTCTTTCTGTCTCGGCAACATTCTAGGGCCGTTGTCGTTTCGCACTGAGGACGAACCAGAGTATATGCCAGCCAAGATCGCCATTGTAGCCACTGTCTCTGTTGCGATAGCTTTTACCGTGGCTCTGAAGTGCTACTACATCTGGGAGAATCGGCGACGCGATAGAAAGTGTGCAGGGCTGCAACATGAGGAGAATTCCGAGTTTTTGGACCTTACAGACAAGGAAAATCTAGAGTTTAGAGTAAGTTGTGCATCTTGTTGGTATATTCGGCAGTACTAACATGACCTATAGTACAAGCACTGAGCTAATGAGAATATTAATGCCATGTCTGTTAAATTATATACAAAGAGAATCTATATACACTATGCAAGCGCTCAACAATTATGCCACGGAAGTTTGAAACACGGTCTCAGACCCTGGATCAAGCAGCAACCTGGACGGTCTTGAACTCTTCACTGAAGTCATAATCAATGTAACCCTTGGGGTCCTTGGGCAAGTAGAAGACCTCTCTCTCGTACGGGCGGAGAGGAACGTTGTTCTGAATCTTGAACGGAAGGTCAGGGTTCGCTGTCCAGGGACGGCCAATTCCAACAAGAATCTCGTGTCCCTTGTACTGCACATCAGCCGCCTCCTTGGCCGAGTCAGCCTTGTAGCCACCGGCAACGATGAGAGGGCTGGCGTCGCCATACGCCTTGACGAAGAAGTCCAGGGAATCTTGGTCCGAAACCAGCCCCTCAGCATTTCCGGCGATGCGTGGCTCGACAAGGTGCACATAAGCCAGCTTGAACTCGGCCGTCTTCTCAGCAAGGTGAGTGAACTGAGCAATGCGATCATCCATGCGCATACCCTGGAAAGTACTGAAAGGGCTGTAGCGGACACCGGTGCGGTCCGCGCCAATAGCATCGGATACAGCACGGATAATCTCGAGAGCGAATCTGGAACGTTTCTCCACGCTTCCACCCCAGGCATCCGTACGCTTGTTAACGGTGTCCTGAATGAATTGATCAATCAAGTACCCATTGGCACCGTGAATCTCGACACCGTCAAATCCAGCCGCAATGGCATTCTTCGCTGCCTGCACATAGTTGGCTATGTATTCGTGGATCTCCGCTTCAGTCAACTCGCGAGGAACAGGGCCATTGTCAAAAGCAACAGCGCTACTAGACACGACATCATAGTTGCCGTTGGCCTTCAGGAATTCCGGACTGGCGACGCGACCCAGGGCCCAGAGCTGCATGTAGATGTATGAGCCCTTCTTGTGGACAGCGTCGGTCACCTTGCGCCACTGCGCAATTTGCGCGTCGTTCCAGATGCCGGGAACATTGGGGAATCCGCCAGCAGGGGGCGCAATGATGGTGGCTTCCGTGATCAAAAGGGTTCCGGGAACGGCAGCACGCTGCTCGTAGTGCTGCGTCACAAGGTCAAGGGGGACGTGGTTGTCGTCGACACGAAATCGAGTCATGGGAGCCATGGCGAGACGGTGGGCCAGGGGCATACGGCCGACCTGGATGGGGGTGAACAATTTGGACATGATGGTGGCGGTCTATATGGACAACTGGTCTATATAAGGAGGGGTATTAAGATATGTGGATAAGGTATATCACAAAATGATACTGATGAGAGAAAGAGAGGAGATGAGAATTACTACTTATATACCCTGAGGACCAGGCCACACTGATCCGACATTTATCTGGAAACAACTAATCCCCTGTGGCACGCCATAGCCATACACCCATGTCTCGGTACGAGACCCAAGGGGAGGGCCAGGAAAAAAATTATGGAACCAAATGGAGAGAAGATCCACACCTTGGATTTCTAATCATCAGATCAGGGAAAGAGAAGATCTCAGTTAGGCGTAAGGATTATAGCGTAGCATCGCTCGGAGTACAATCGGGGTATGGAAAGTCAATTCTACATCCAATTAGCCTTAGATCCTCTGAACTAATATCCTAACCTATCAACAACGATGTCGAAGTATTCTCCGGATTGACATACAACGAAGTAGGAAATATAACGATTGCACACCTCTACGGCAACCATCGGCACTTCTGCACCCCGAGGATCCGAACCGAACCAGAGTATTATCCTGAGCTCAATATGGACCTCTATGCTAATAATCAGACATACCACACAGAAAATCCTAAATATAGAGAGAGAAATACATCTGAATGGCACACTTACGAACAACACATTCAACTAGTACCTCCCATCCATCTCCATACACATAAGCAGTAAACTAAGCGCGGCGATCCTGCAGAAATCCCAGCCCCACAACAGCGGCTGACTAACCGTCGATTTCTGCAGGTGGCGGCCACATGGCGTGTTTCGCTGACAAATTCAACAACTAATCAATCAAACTTGGCACTCTGGAGGTATTACGGATTTAAGATAATGGTTCTACGGATTTCTGCTCCTTCGTCGGTCTCCGGTTGTATGGCCGAGGAGGGGTAGGTGCTTACTTATTTGTTCATTTGCTTGGTTACAGGGTATGATCTCTTCAATTTGTTGGGTTAGGAGGTGATGACGATGATGATGGAGTGGTTGGGGGTGCTATCTATAGGGTGCTGATTGTTTTGGGTTAATCGTTTTGCAGTATATGGTGATGTTAGTGGTGGTGGTATATGCCTTCTTGGTCCGACTTCTAACAATAATGTAGTACGAAAAGCTGGATGTATCTATCCATCGTCATTTAAATCCCATTATCCATGTCCTTATTCCTATCCTTGTCCAACTAGTAAACATGACCCTCACTCTGTAGACAACAATGCCGGGGGTATTTATTCGAAAACACAGACACAGCTTTACAATGATCGCACAACGAACATATAAATGAAACCAGGTTAGACAAGTACGTGTATCCTTATCACCGTCAATCAACTCTCGAGTCTCCGCGCAGTAGCCTCGAGCTGTGCGTTGAATGACTTGATCTGATGTAGCAGACCGCCTTGAGCTCCAGGGGCGATGGAGCTCACGTTCTCCGCAACGTTGCGGACAAGGAACTCCAGTCCGGCTGTGGAGGAGGGTTCGGGGTTCTGGGAGGTGGATTCGTCGACGGGGCGATTGCGGCTACGCTCGAGGGCGAGGTCCAGACTGTGGAGGGAGTTGTTGATGGTTGAGCGGGCCTAGGGGGACGTTTGTTAGCAATGCTTGGGGTGTATCTGGTAATATGCTTGCTCGCTTGCTTACCATTTTGGCATTCTCTTCCTCACTGTGCTTCCTCCGTACGGCGTCCATTTGCAATGCCACGTCTTCTCGTTCTTTCCGGACTCGGTATAGTCGGCTCCGCAGATCCATCATTTCCCGTTTGGATTTCTTGATTTGGCGTCCGAGAACAAAGTTACTGTCGAGCATTTCGCTCAGTTCAAAGAGACGGCCCTCGAGTTCCGTACCGTAGGCCTCGACGGCCTTCTTCTTGCGTGTCCATTCCGCACGCCGGGCGGCGTTGCCTTCGTTCGCGATCCCGTTCTTGAGTGTCGCGAGCGTCTTTTCTAATGTCTCGCGGCAGATCTGGCTTAGTACGTCTGCTGCGTTGACGCCGCCTCGGCTCAAAAGCTTGGTCTTTTGTTTCGCCGTGAGTCCCTCGGCTGACTCCTCTTCCTCGTCGGACGATTCCTCCGGCTCTGGACCTTCTCCAAGTGCAGTGGCGTTCACGAAGCGATGGACAGTCACTGGCACTGTTTCTCCCCGGGGTTGTCTGGGCTTGCGTTTCTTAGGTGGTGGTGCTTCTTCGGTTGGCTCAGCCGGCTCGTCTTGTACTGTAGCTTCTTCATCTGCGGCTTGTGTTGTGTCATCCTTCTCCTTTGACGCCGGTTTGCGACCGCGAGCACGTTTGGCAGGTCTGGCCGGTTCGGGTTCCGCTGGAGGCTCCGGCTGTGGTTCTTCTTCGGGCTCTGGTACAGGCTCTGGCTCGACTGCCTCAGCTTGAGCTGTAGGTTCTTCGTTCGGAGCCTGTGTCACATCGTTCTCTTTCCTTGACAGCGGTCTGCCACGACCACGTTTGGCAGGTTTAGGAGGTTCTGTTTGTTGTGCCGGTTGTACTTCTGTTTCAGGCTCAGCCTGCTCGGCTTGTGCTGGAATTTCTTCGTTCGAAGCTTGCGCATCATCCGTATTCTCTGGCAATGGTTTCCTGCCGCGACCACGTCTGACAGGCCTTGATGGTTTGGGTTCTGTCCGTGCTTCTGGCTGTAGATATGCTTCGGGTTCTGTGACGGCCTTGGACTCTGGCTCTGGCTCATGCTGCTGCTCTTCCGGCTGCTGCGCCTCTTCCTCGCGCATAGGCACTTCTTCCTGAATATCCTGGGATCGTGCCGGTTTTCTTCCGGGGCGTCCAGCGCGCGTCGACTTCTTGTCCGCCACCGTAGTAGGTCTTGGCAGCCGTGATTGTCGACTTCCCTTGGTCACGGTACCATCCTTTGGCTGGGATGAAACAGTCGCGCCAGTGCCATCGGCGGGCTCTTCTTCTATTGTAGGAATACTGGGCATAGGCTCCTGGTTCTTCCCGATACGTCCACGAAGTCTCTTTCTCTCCATGCCTTGGACTGGGGCGCTTTCTGCTGAGCCTGCTCTGACCACTCTAGACTGTTTGGCAGTTGTTGAATGCGGTTGAACGGATGCTGCGCGTTGCTCTCTCGTTCTCTTGGTTCTCGGGGGTGTTGGAGACTCTGTCTGTGTTGTAGTACTATGAGGTTCGGTTGCTTTCCCGATGCCGTTCGTCTCTCTGGGTTCGACAGCATCTTGAGGCTCAGCTGCCTCTGGGGGTTCGCTAGCAATTGGAGATCCAGTGGCTTCGGCCTCGCTAGCGATTCGTGGTTGGGTGGTCTTGCCTGCAGCGGTGGTCTCTTCTTCGCTAGATATTTGTGCTGCGGGGATCTGCGATTCACTAGTAGCCTGAGGCTCGGTAACGTCCTGTGTAGTGTCATCATGACTCCCGGTAGTATTAGGCGCAGCAATTTTTGGTGACGCTGTGACTGGTGATTTCCCATCCGGTGATGTATCCATTGCTGCTGATACCTGCGAACCCTCCACATCTGCTGCCTTGGGGCTCACAGCGTTTTGCGGAGAACCCCGCGGAGAACGACGCGAAGAAACGTCACTATCGCGGGATGTACGTCTCTTGCGCTTGCCCCTTGTTTCCTCGCCAGGCGGAGAAGGCGTTGATCTCGCTTGGGGTTCTTGTTGGGGTTCCGGCGGCGGTTCCGTGGCATGGTCAGGTGCTACAGGCTCTGCCAACTGCGGTGGTTGTAAGGGTGCAGGATCCTCCTGTACAACATGTGTAGTTGACAGTTCCTCTTGAGAATGTTGTGTGCCACTGAGAGCAGGTGGACTCGTCGGTTTAGGGGGCGACTGGGGGGCGGCAATTGATGCGACGCCGTTGTTGAGGGGCTGCGAACTCTCTTCATCCCGCGCGCTGAATGATATCGTCGAAGTTCTTCTAGAATGATCTTTGGCCTATTAGCATCCTGGTGGCACATCTAATGATCCTATACGCACCAAGTTTCCTTATCTTGCGACTAGGTCCAACTTCCGGCGGATCTTCTGTAGGTAGATCGTAAGGCGATGGACGCGGCGGGAGTTTGTTGCGCGCGCTTCCAGGTGTTCGACGAATAGGTCCCTCTTGCGCCGACAGTTTTCTCTCCGGCGATATTATGGAAGGTTTCGTAATCTCCGGTTCCGTTGCGGCTACGGGCGTCGTCGTGTTCACAGCAGTATCTGTCATCGAGGCCGGTGGTGGTACAGGAGGGAACAGCGAAATACCGACATTGTCCGGTCGCGACGTGGATTGAGACGGTTCATCGGAGGCAGTAGGCAGGCCAAAAGAAAACCCAAAGTCTATCGCCTTAGTCTTGCGTGACCTAGTAGACAGTCACAGCGTTAGCAAAATCGGATTCTGGGTGAGTTCGTCGCGGGGTTCGGGATGGTGATGCGCGTACGCTGCTCCGCGCTGCCGCATTTGCAGCCGCTCCTCTCGATCTGGATAGTTAGATTACCATTAGCATTGGCGCAAGCACGGGGGTGTAAGGACTGCATACTGGAAGCCATGATTGAGAGGCGGCGCTCCTGCCGAGCTCAACGCGCCAAACCACACGCGAAGGGGGAAATGGTGGAGGGAAATGTGGCCCAGCGATGATGGATGGATGGAGAGGAGCTGTGATGATGGAGCGATGCCGCCCGCCGGGATGGCCAATGGTGGGTTGGCGATGCTCCCGCCATGTGGGTGCCCGTGAACAGCCGCAGTCTATGTTTACATTCTATCATCTCCTTTGAGAAGAAGATCAAAGCATATCGCCATATATTCTTAATCCCAATAAACAGATTTTAAAGGGCTATCCTTTGTGCACATGATTTCCGCCGGCTTCAGGAAATCGGTGTCATACGATGGCTCTTTGCTCCGGACTACTCAGTACACTGAGTTGGCAATACTAGCAAATGGGACGGTCTTGCAGATATACACCTTGCAAACCACATCTGAACACATTTTAGTGATGACAATGAATGTGTGATTGGAACAATATTATGGGGCTTTGGCTCCGTGAATGACAACTGCGAATTCAGGGTAGATCTCATCAGTAGTCTTTCTGACGCTGGGTTCCTTCACGATGTAGGCTATTTATATATAAATGCCCAGTACTAGTTAGTTCATTGGGTATTATGTCATGGAGCGCCAACGTTCAAGGTCCAAAATGCTCCAATATCATGAATGATACAGCTGTTTTTCACAACTGGTATTGTGCTAGAAACAAAGATTCAGCCTACTATTGACTCTAGACGGCCTTTCTCGTCTTCCTTCTGATCTCTTGACTCTATTTCCATACTACCATCATATCTTCCCCATACTATCGCTAAGTATTCCGCCCTTTTGACGGATAACTAAGGTTTGGCAAGGCCTCGGGTTCGAGCCCCGGCTCGGATCTTCGCCCTTTTCCTCTCCTGGCTGCGCTCTAGACTAAAGCGGTATGGCGGTCGGTCAAGTGCCTTTGCGGTCGGTCTCCGCATGCTCCAGCCAATTCTTCTCCATATATTCCTCAATACTCTTACCTATTAACCGCGCATTTTATCTGGCAATTGGACCATTACTCTTCCGAAAAAGGACGCCTTCACTGCACTCACACCATGGGCTGGTTTTGGGGTGGCTCGAACAAGGACGACCCGGTCAAAAAGCTTGACCCGGGCTTGCGAGAATACCTCGAGCATGAAGCTCCAGAGAAATACGTCCCAACCACTTCAGTCCCCTCATCGCAGGACCCCTCCAAGACGGTACCCCAAGATGCGAAGCCATCTGTCAGCGCCGAGCCTTCCGAACCCGCCCTTCCCTCCGCTTCTCTATTCCAAGATGGCCGTTATGCGCATCTCTGGAAGACCTACAAGCCGCCCCAGGAAAAGGAAGCGACGGAACAGAAGACTGCAGAGCGAGTGATTGAGAAGTACAAGCAGCGCGGTGATACCGTGCACCGTGCGGCGATGGAAAATTGCGCCCTGGAGCATGAGGACTTGACATACTGCTTCCAGACTGGCAATTGGGAGAAACGATTGCGGGCCCGTGTGACTCTGTGCTCTGAGGAAAACGCTAAGTTCTCTCGTTGTTTTACCACCCAGGCTGTAAGTGCAGGAACAGTTAAACCGGCTCTTTTCTTTCCCTGCGATGCCTGAGCTGTTGTCGGTCGGTATATGCTGACGGTCATCCAGAAATTCCTCCAGGCACTAGGATACGCTTCCTCCTTCAACTGGGACGAGGAAAGGGAAGAACGGATTCAGATGCACGCCGATAAGCTCTACCATCAGATGCTTGACTACGAGAAACGGGCCGAAGAAGCACGGAAAGCTGGACAGGAGCCCCCGCCTCTCACTTCTCTCTTCAACCCCCAGGCAGAGGCACAGCAGACACCTGCCAACGCACCAGGAGCCCTGGAGATTCCTGGAGGTGAGACGATCCCGACAGGACTGAAACCGTCCAAACCGTTGGCACAGCTTACTCCACATGAACGAGAATTGGAGATCCGAGCACACAATGCGCAGCTGGAGCAACAGAAATTGTACGTACAGGAGGCATCGCCATTCATGCAGACACACGAGGACGCACGGCAAAAGCGCAGAGAGAAAGCCGTCAGCTGGTTCGGCGAGACGATTGGCCGCTGGGTTACATAAAGCATATGCGTGGTGCTTCCATTATGGACTGGATCTTTCTCTTCTCTTGTGTATGATTACCCCATTTGTCACCCCCTCCAGTAGGAGTTATGATTTAGAAGCGAGTCTGCGACAATCGACGTTGTTACGCATGGATATGCAGGGCCAACGGATTCCAGGGTGCTTTTTTACCCTTCCAATAGGAATGCAGGGAGAAGCCAATGAAAGTAAACCCAAAGTAAACGCAAGAGAAGCGATCCCTCAGGTACCGTCGCTGGGTATATATCTGCTTGCTATACACCTTTGAGCTAGGAGGAATTGATCCACCCCAAACCATGGGCAAAATCATATATCTAGTCGCGTAGAAAACCGACCGTCTGGTATGTTCAAGACATGCATAAAGACAGGAAACAAACCTCAGTACCAGAAGCGTAGAAAATTGTAACCACGGGGAGAAGTTGAAATGCTGATCGACTGCATCTACAGGAAAGATGCTGACGGTCAGGGCGGCTGTCATTCGCCGGGCGCGTTGAACGCCAGAGCGACACGAGGAAGCGAAACCAACACGGGAAGCATCGACATCACCACTACGACCCTTTGGCTCTCTGTCGCTGGGCCCTCTTTTTCTCTTCCCATTCAACTTTCCTCGATACGACTTTGTGACTACTCACTCCCTGGCCACCTTCACCGGATCTATCCCTTTCTTTTGTGTCCCCACTGGAATCCTCCGTCCCTCGACTGGTCGTGCTCCGCGGCACCTGATTAATTGACTGATTGATCGATTGATTCCTCTCGTTGCTCCAAGCAATAAATTAACCTTCTCTACGAACGGCTCCCTCCTCCGATCATTACCCCTTCTCGCTTCCTCTTGCTGTGGCGATCTCACACCCTTTCCACTGTCAGCATACAATATCATCAAGCTCTTCCCCTGCGCGCAAGAAGAGCTGTAGTCCTCTCCGTTACTCCCCAGGGGCCCTCATTGAGCTGCCGTGCTCACCATGAAGGCCACCCCGTTGCTCATTTCGTGGCACAACGACAATGCCCCCATCTACTCGGTCCATTTCGACCCCAATGGCAAAGGTCGTCTGGCCACGGCCGGCAAGTATGATAAACTACTCTTTGTGTTAAGTCCAATTATGGGTCCATGGTGTTAATGTTCTTCCTCCCTAGTGATAACAACGTCCGAGTACGAACCCCCCTCACCAGACCTCCTCCCCCTCCAAACTCCTCCTCACGGCCTTTCTCTGACACAAGAATACAACCATAGCTATGGAAAGTGGAGACAACTGGCGAAGAACGAAAAGTGACCTACCTGAGCACACTGATTAAACACACCCAAGCTGTGAATGTGGTCCGTTTCAGTCCTAAAGGTAGATATCTCCTCGATCCGTATACCGAATCTTGTCTCTAACGGCTCGTCTTCGTAATCTTTTCAGGCGAGATGCTGGCATCTGCCGGAGATGATGGCAATGTGTTACTCTGGGTCCCATCGGAATTGCAAACACAATCTGGTCTGGGTGAAGATCGTTCTGACGACAAGGAAACATGGCGTGTAAAGCACATGTGTCGGTCATCTGGTGCAGAGATCTATGATCTTGCCTGGTCCCCAGATGGCGTGTTCATCATAACAGGAAGCATGGACAATATTGCCCGGATCTATAATGCTCAGACAGGTGAGCATCCTCTTTCAGAATGCCTCGAGGAATGCCTTTCCGCTTACGATCAAAAATTTAGGTCAAATGGTACGCCAGATCGCTGAGCATTCGCATTATGTCCAGGGTGTAGCTTGGGATCCTCTGAATGAGTTTGTGGCGACGCAATCGTCAGATCGTTCTGTCCACATCTACAGCTTGAAAACAAAGGATGGTCAATTCACCCTTACATCCCATGGGAAATTCCTCAAGATGGATCTCCCTGCCAAACGCATCTCTTCCAGTAGCCCAGCTCCGCCGGATCCTTCTATTCGCTCCCAACCCACAGCGCCGAGCTCTGCTGCTGCTATTGTGTCCCCTGCCCCCTCTACCCCGGGCACACCGATGATCTCGAATCTGCCCATGGATCCTCCACCGGTGTCTCACAGCCGACGCTCATCCTTCGGGTCATCTCCCTCGATCCGTCGATCGGCATCCCCAGCGCCATCCTTGCCATTACCCGCAGTCAAGCCACTGGAAGTACCCTCACCAGGTCTGTTGGGTGGACTTGGCGTGAAAAATGCCAATATATATGCAAATGAGACATTCACCTCCTTCTTCCGGCGGTTGACATTTGCCCCCGATGGTAGCTTGCTATTCACGCCTGCAGGCCAATACAAAACTTCGCATGTGTCTGCTACCGATCCGACAAAGACTACAGATGAGATTACGAACACTGTTTACATTTACACTCGTGCAGGCTTCAACAAGCCTCCCATCTCACACCTTCCGGGCCACAAGAAGCCCTCTGTGGCAGTGAAATGCTCACCTGTGTTCTACACGCTTCGGCAGGGTCCCCAGCCTGCCAAGCATATCACATTAGATACCTCGTCAACGGAGGAATCTTTCTCTTCTCTTCCCGAGCCGGTAGTGAGCTCTACGGGGGACAATGCTTCTATGGAACCCCCGACCTCGGCGCCGAATGACCAAGCAAAGAATGGCTCGACTCCCAAGGCCTCGGATCGACTTGTAAGCCAGAGTCCTGCACCTGTTTTCACGTTACCTTATCGGATCGTGTATGCTGTGGCGACCCAGGATGGGGTCATGGTATATGACACCCAGCAACAGACACCAATTTGTGTCGTTAGCAATTTGCACTTTGCCACATTCACCGACTTGACATGGTAAGCTCTGTCTCAGACATAGGAACCGATTAGCGATGTACTAAACGTATCCAGGTCAAACGACGGATTGACTTTGATGATGAGTTCGTCAGACGGGTTCTGTTCGACCCTCGCGTTTTCCCCGGGAGAGTTGGGCCAACCATATGTGGCTCCGGCATCAGCGGCTCAACAGACAGGAGCTGCCGTTTCATCCGCCAATAACACGCCGCTCCCCACGCCTGTCACTGCCAAACCAAGCTCGGCGGTTCAAACAAATCCGACTCAGGCACCTCCCGCAAGTCCGGCACGGTCCAACTCTGTCTCTTCGGTTACGACACAGTCTGGTAGCTCGAGGCTCATCAACAACCCGACGCCTACGCTTGGGTCTGTGCCGCTAGTGACAGCAACCCATTCAGCCCAGCCTCCGACACTCCCGCTCACTACCCCGCCGCAGACCCCCATGTCCGCGGCCTCCCAAAGTGGGACAAGCTATGTCAGCAACAGTGTTCTGGGCAAACGACCCGGTGAGTCTGAGAAGGAGGACGACAAAGATCAGAGCGCCGCTCCGCAGGCACAACAGCAGAATCAGCAACAGCCGAAGAAGAGACGGGTTGCACCGACCCTGATATCAGCCGGCACCAATCCGTCCGCTACATTGCGTGACGAGCCACCTAATGCTGACGTGGGCGGTTAAATCTCGCCTGACAAAGACGTACCTTATCTGGTCGCCCAAGTGTAACTATTATTTGCTGTTCCTCGTCTCTTGCCCCTCACCTCTTTTTGCTTTTATCCGTGTAATGTCAAACGCGGGCCCGGATGATCTGGTTGCTACGATTATTATTATTATTATTCCCTTGCTGATGATTTACGCCTCTTTTCTTTCTTTTCCGTCTTTTTGACTTTGCTTTTTCCTTCCTCCCGATGGGTCTCGGTTCCTTCCTGGAAATCCCGGTAGAGTTTTCCCACGCGTTCCGGTCATGCATGCATGCATGCATCTATTTTCCCTCCATTCTTCTGGCGCATTTACTGTAACCTTGCAACCTCATCCCCTCATCCCTCTTACTCTCACCTTTACTTCTTTTGGCTCAACTCACGCGGGGGCTCGGAATTACTGTATGTATTTACTCATCCCGCTTTTTCCATAACCACAACCCTATTTTTCTATCTGTTCTACCTTGGTGTCTTCATGGTTACTGTTCCTTTCTATAGTTGCGAGTACCCCTTCTCTCTTATTCTGTTCTCTCCCGGGTTGCATCTCTTATTTCGCAAAGGCAGGGGTGCATTGTGCATTGACTATTGACTCTGGCCATGGCTGCGGGGGAGGTAAGATCCATAGGTAACTAGTTAGCTAGTAGGTAGGAACCTGTGTCTGGTTGTTTTTGGAATAGACCATCAATCAGTCAATCAATCAATCCGATCTAGTGTCTTGTGTCTTGACTACTATCTTATCTTATGTAACGATGCAGTACGGAGGAATTAATTACGGTATTGTCCTTTTTTTATTTTAAAGTACACTAAAACTAATGGTAAGAATTAAGTGAAGGAAGGATGGTATAATTATCGTGTATCGAGGTAGAGGTTCCCTTTCGATGGACACATTATGATCATTCGCCGTGACACGTTATATCATACTTAGGAAAGAGGTAGCTAGACATGTGGAGAGAAGAGAAGAAGATAGGGGGAAGAGGAAAAGAAAGGGAGATAACAGTGGGATGAAACGAGGGGTCAGAGGATGTATGGATGCTACATGTTCACCTGGGAAGGAATGAAGTAGGGATGGGGTAGTAGTGGTTGAGAGTTCTGGACGAATAGAGAGAGGGGTGAAGGGGTCAGTCATGGCTTTCTCCGTTGACGCCATTCACCTCGGGGACGTGACCATTTGCATGCCCGTTAGTATCCTCAGCAGAATATCCGTTGGTGTGTCCGTTGGACATGCCGTTTGCCATCGGCTGAGAAGTAAAAGCGTCTACGATATCGGCCATGCTCATGTCACCGGGAGGCACGGCTTTGGCCTCCGTGGCGTGGGAGCCCACGGTCAGGGTGGTCACGCTGGGGATCATCTGTTCAGCATGCAGGCGATTAGCCCAGCGGAAAAGGGCTTCGTCGCCGCGCGCACCCCCGGCGACAAACACGAAATCCGGCGTGCGGGGTAACTGCCGCAGGACGGATTCGGCTGCTTTGGCTTTGGACACGTCCAGAGGCTCGACACTCACTGCGCCCTGGCTGAGGACCACGCGGATGGCTTCGCTTCCCCGTGTGCCGTTGATCTGATCTGCTAGGCTCGAGGCCTGGCGCCCGGCGATCTCCGGATCATGCGCATGCTCGTAGCAGAAGTTCATGAGACAACGACGCTCCTCCATCTCACTTCCTTCAGTTCGTTCATGGTAATACTGGATCACTTTGCGGATGCCGTTCCGCCAGTCCTTGGCCTTTTCCATGTCTACTAGCGTTTTCCAAGTGGACGAGCCGACCTCGCGCTTGAAGCAGCCATTTTCGGCGATCAACCCCACCTTAGTAGAGAGTGCTTCCAAGGCTGAGTCGAGCTGCTCTGGACTCTTGCTACTCGTCACATACACTGTATTTTGGGGATCTGCTAGCAAGCGCTCGAGTAGAGCGATTAGGTCAGTCGAAGATCCGTTTTGAGGAGCAATGATGCCGTCGTCTTCTAAGAAGAAAAGACGTGAGCTGGAATTGTCATACGCCTCCTTCACAGCCTTGACGGATAGAAGTGACACCTGACTGAGTTCACGAGATAGCTGCGTGCTGTGTGCATTAGTCAGAGCGGTGTGGAATGAGTTGAACCATGCTATCGCTGTATGAGGGGTTTGCTTTTCAAGCAAGAACTGCCAGTTCCGCTCCTTTTGTTCAGGCGTCATGGAAAGCGCCTTGTTGATCGCATCGGCAACCTCTTTGTAATCCCAAGGATTAACCAGAAGTTCGTGCCCACTGAAGAGGGAAGCGCTCCCTGTAAACTCGCTCAGAATGAGAGAGCCATGACGCTGGGATGCCAGAATTCCATCCTGACAATGAATGTAATCGTGGCTACTAAGGTTCATGCCTTCTCTAAGGCTGGTGACCATGAAGATGTCCGCCACACTCATGAGGGCCAAGAACTGCGAATAGCTGATGTCCTGTCTCAGAAGTACCAGGGGCTGATGAGTCAAGCTTGAGTATACCGAATTTATCCTCATAGCAATTTTCGAAACTTGAGCTTCTAATTCAGGCAGCTCAGAAGCCGAAGCAACTTGAACAAGGACAACCTGGGCCAGTTAGTACCAAATGTATTAGACCATGCATTGTGCTTTGCCCGAACATACCTTCTCCCTCCACTTAGGATACTTCTTCAGAAACAGCTCATAAGCGAGGAGCTTTTGCTTGATACCGCCCGGAGCATCCAGCCTGTCGCGAGCGACGATCAAATGTTTACCCTTATACCGAGAGGTAATATTGGCGATCCAATCCTTCACATGCGTAGTCCTGCGCAACGCGTCCAACGATTTGACGTCAACACCAATGGGCATGTTCTTCACATGGACGAATCGGCGGTCGAGTTGTACACCATCGACGGAGACTTCCAACCTTAGAAGGCGGATGCAAGATTGGAGAAAATGATAGCAATATTCTTCCGTCTGGAAACCAATAAGATCCGCACCGAGAAGCCCTTTCAGTAGTGCATCTCGAGCGTTCAGGCAGCGGAAAATCTCCGACGAGGGAAATGCAGTATGCATGAAGAAGCCGATTTCTGCTTTTGGCAGCCTCTCCCGGAGCATTCCCGGAAGAAGCAGAAGGTGATAGTCATGTACCCAGATGCTGTCACCAGGACGCCAGTATGCGGCAATAATTTTTGCGAATGCCTCGTTGACTTTGACATACTGCTTCCAGGAGTAATCGTCGTACTCTGTGTGTCGCGGGCTTTCCTGCATCTGATAGTGGAAAGCAGGCCACAGGACAGCGCGGCAAAAGTGGGTATAATGACCTTCGAATTCGCTGTCGCGGACGAACACAGCAAGTGACTCGTATTCATCTTCAAGCGTCTCGAAGATACTGGCGCGCGTTCCATCTCTCAATGAGTCCGTAGGCATGCCTAATGTGCCTACCCACATCTTGTCCGTCAACATGCCTGCTTCTTCGGCAGCATTGATGGCGTTTCGCAAGCCGCCATTGCCCTGTTCAGCTGCCTTGACAACCCAGTCAAGCTCAGATAACAGAGCACGAGGGCTCCCGTGTTCTTCTTCCGAGCTGAAAACATCTGCAGGACCATCCAAGTAGGGCGGGTTGTCCACGTCATCCCCTGGGTCAGGACGGCTCAGAATGGACGGACCCGGGTGAAGAGAGGTCTTTAAGCGCGGCTGATTGAACTTACGGCTCTGGCCCCAGGAGACGGTACGAGGCTCACTAGGGCCTGGGCCGTTGGGATCATCTGCAGCTGGGATCTCGCCTGCAGAGCGCGAGACGTAAGGCTTGAAGATCCTTTCATCATCGGTGGTCGCGCCAGGAGTTAGCGACAGACTTATGCTCTTGGAATGGTGCTTGCGGTTGGTGTCTGCCAGTCGTCCTATGATTCGGCCCTCTCCACGAGAAGAGCTGCTAGATGACTTGCGCCGAGCATGTCTTAACTCGGTGGCTTGGAAGTCAATGGTATAAGGGAGAAAGCTGGACAGTGTGAGTGAGAACTCAATCGACTGCGAGATAAAGAAGAGCAAACATACAGTGAGGCAATGAAGACCGTCATTGGGGTGAAGCGACACCGAGAGAGTCTTCCCTATGGTATTGTTTCAAGTGCTGCAGCACAAGGAATTGGAATTGGAGGTTAAGATTTGAGAGGTTTCTGAAGGACAAAGACAGGCTGAAGTATGGAAAGAGTTGTTCCGCTTTTCGGAATCAAAGATCCGTGGAGGTTTAATCTCTTCTTCTTCTTTTTCTCCGGACCAAGGGATGCTAAAGAGGGTGTGGGATTGATATGCGACGGCAGGAGCTATGTCTTAAGTGTCACGGGGGGAGAGTGAATGCGACGACCCTGAAAATCCCGGGGGCAGGTTAGACACCCGAACCAGCAGATGAAGAAAGCAGGGAGTGGTGACGTTGATGATTGGACCAGGGAAAAGCCGTCCAGACCGGGGAGATGAAGCACATGCGAAAATGACAGGAACATTCTGGGCTCTTCGGGGGGAGTGTGTGACTGGGGAGGGGCATTTCCAAGCGCGAAGGAGGGGTTCGGGCAGGTTCTTTGGGCTTGTCTTGGGCAGATGCCAGTCGCATCATGGGGGTGAGCAAAAGAAATGAAGGGAAGGGGAAGGGGAACGGGGACCCGGATCTAGGCCACCAGGATTATGGTCTCAGATCACAAGCCCGATGATATGCATGGCATAGATGAAGCCAAAGAAGAAGAAAACTTGCCTGGCAGTCTGCTATAGCCTTGCAGCTTATAGCGGACAGACCAATGAGATCATTGACGTTGTGGTTCCCGTGGGATCCGCAGTCTCTCCACCGGCACTAAGATAGCGTTTTGGCGATGGTTCTCGACAATTCGACCGGGCGTTGGGTCGCTGTGTCGCGCACGCGCGCCTTGTTTCCGCCAGACAATGGGAATGGACACCGAAGCACATGGAACACCGGGTTGGTCAATGATGATTCCGGCACTCCAGACAGGGAACGGGTGATTGAGGGATGGAGACGGGAAGAGAGAGAGAAAGCAGGAGAAAAAGAAAAGTGGGAAGTGGATAGTGAAGTCACAGAGAGGAAATGGTGAGGGGCAACACGAACACTTTCGTTTTAGTCTCATTTGATGGGAAGCGGAAAGCTTGAAAGATAAACCAAAAATACCATCACCAACTTTCATCTTCAATTCCTCACATCTTTACCCCCTCCCCCTTCGACTTTCCACTTTCACCACCACTACACACCATTACACTACTAACTATTCACCTCCCTTTCCCTTCCAGCCCCCCAGCTACTCTCATTATATTACCTCGCGGCCTCCTATCATTCCCCCTCAATTGACTCATCTCATCCTCGATCCATCTTCAAAGCGGGGCACACTCCTTTCGCTCTGCTCTCCATTGCATTATCTCTTCCCCCCCCTCCTTTTCCAATGGCTGCCAACGGCTCTTCTTCGGAAGGCGATCACCGCCTGTTGATCGTTTCCAATCGTCTGCCCATCACCATTCGTCGCTCCGGGGGTGGGAAATATGAGTTTTCCATGTCCTCTGGTGGCCTGGTGACTGGTTTGAGCGGACTATCAAAGACCACAACCTTCCAGTGGTATGGCTGGCCAGGACTGGAAGTGCCCGAGGATGAGATCGACTCCGTGAAACAGCGTTTGCAGGAAGAGTTCAACGCCACCCCGGTGTTCATGGACGACAAACTGGCAGATCGCCACTACAATGGCTTCTCAAGTACGTATCGTCATGATTCCCCCTCTCCACCTGCATTGGATGTGCATCCGCACCTATCTCCTGCGGCTGCCACCTGGCAGGGCGCGACAGGTCTGTATCTGTTGCTAATGTGAGCTATCAGACTCAATCTTGTGGCCTCTTCTGCATTATCATCCCGGTGAAATTGTTTTTGACGAAGCTGCCTGGGATGCGTATCGTGAGGCGAACCGTCTGTTCGCAAAGACTATCGCCCATGAGGCCCGGGAAGGAGACCTTGTCTGGGTCCACGACTATCACCTCATGCTTCTTCCGGAAGTTCTCCGCGAAGAACTCGCAGCCTTGGGCAAGAACAATATCCGCATTGGATTTTTCTTGCATACTCCATTCCCGAGCAGTGAGATCTATAGAATCCTTCCTGTGCGGAGTCAGTTGCTGCGCGGCGTGTTGCAGTGTGACTTGATCGGATTCCATACCTATGACTATGCGCGTCACTTCCTGAGCTGTTGCTCTCATATCCTGTAAGTGGCCACTCGCTGTCTGGCCGGGTTGTAAGCTAACGTCTCCGGCAGTGGATTGGTCACAACCCCAAGCAGTGTCAAATTCAAAGACAGGTCTGTCGCCGTGGGAGCTTTCCCCATCGGCATTGATCCCGACAAGTTCACCGAGGGCCTAAAGAGCCCCAAGGTGCAGAACCGCATCGCAAGTCTCGAGAACAAGTTCCAAGGAACCAAGTTGATGGTCAGCGTTGATCGCCTGGACTACATCAAGGGTATTCCCCAGAAGCTGCATGCCTTGGAGGTCTTCCTCTCCCAGCATCCTGAATGGGTGGGCAAAGTCGTGCTGGTACAGGTAGCTGTCCCGAGTCGTCAGGATGTTGAAGAGTATCAAAACCTGAGGGCCGTGGTGAACGAGCTGGTGGGCAGAATCAACGGAAAGTTCGGTAAGTCTGGCAATGCCAATATTTCTCTCGCGCTTCCTAACAGCCTTGGCTCAGGAACGGTCGACTACATGCCCATCCACTTCATGCACAAATCGGTGAGCTTTGATGAGCTCATCGCGCTGTATGCCGCCTCCGACGCGTGTGTCGTGTCGTCGACTCGCGACGGGATGAACCTAGTGTCGTTCGAATACGTTGCAACACAGCAGAAACGCAAGGGGGTGCTAATTCTGTCGGAGTTTGCTGGAGCCGCGCAAAGCCTTAACGGCAGCATTGTAGTCAACCCGTGGAACACGGAAGAACTTGCCAGCGCATACCACGAGGCCGTGTCGATGAGTGACGATCTGCGGGCCCAAAAATTCGAAAAGCTCTACAAATACATCTCCAAGTACACCAGGTAAGCTGACGCGGCCCATTGATAACTATACAACGCATAGTTGGCTGACGGTAATGTCGCAGTGCTTTCTGGGGCAAGTCATTTGTTGCCGAACTATCCAAGTGTTCAACCTGATTATGTTATGACTGCAGCTTTTTCCTTGTTCTTTTCACCTCCTTCCTTCATTCACTCATTCAGCATTTACTGTTCATATTCTCTTTGGCGAACACAAGCACGGCGAACATAGTTTCTGGGCATAGCGATCTTCTAATCCATAGATTAAGTATCAATTCGGCAAGCGACAGAGCATAATAAAGATACCGCTTAATGCAAGGCAAGACACCTTCTAGAAGATTGATTGATAGCTACTAGCATCCAAACTAGAGTAGTGTGTACCTAAGAAAAAGAATTTAAATTTCCATCCCCATCTCCACACCGCACACTACAGGACAGCAAGCACAACACCCGAACCGAACATCCATCGAAGAAGTCAAATCCACCTTCCACTACCACGATCCACACATGGCAAAAAGTATAACAAAAAGGATTCAAATCAAGCCGCGTATCTGATACAACCCAACAATGATCATCGATAATCCAACAAACCCAACCACATCCCTACCTACCTATCTGAAACACGACAAAAGGCAGAGCAGATACTTACCCGTCCCGGGATGAGGAAAGGGATTATGGGCCCGTTTGGGTGTACGTCATCATATACATACATGTTGTAGATCATTTCTTGAGTCAGTTGATGGAGTATTTCGATACAGTCGGTAGTTAGAAAATGAGATTTATCGAGATATTTAATATAATTAATCGATTGCTTATTTTAGGAAAGTGGATAATATATCGATAACAGATAATAGATCATAGATAAATATAACAATGAACCACAGAGCAGATAGAAGAAGAACAAGAAAGCGAAGCAGAAACGTACCTACAGATAGATACTTCCTACATCCTGCACAGTAACGGTGGTACTGCAGCGGCAACATCCCAGCTGCCCTGTCCTTCATGCTATGCTACCTTAGCATGAAGGACAGGCAGACAGATGGGCGCAGGTAGTATTGTATCAGTAGTGGCAAGTTATGCTATGCTATGCTATGCTATATGGTATGTGTGTGTGTGAATCAAGCAAGTATGCGTGGTCGTATGCATGTATGTCCGCGAGTAACGTGAAGCAAGGAACCTACTGGGACATATCTATCAGTATCTGCTATCTGTTTCAATGTCTCAGGTGAAGTAGTAGCGGTTGCGGTTGCATCATCACATCATACATACGTGTATATATATATATCCCTGTTGGAGAGATGGTAGACTACCGTATATAGTATCTATCTACATATATTGATTCAATAGAAATACTATACTATGGTATATTATATTGTAGAGTATAGTTAGCGTATCTGCAAGACACATAAAATAAACAAGGTTGTTGTACATAGTATGTATCTAATCATGACTTCACGATGACACGGCCCGCTAACCACAAACTAATTAGTTCAACTCTACAGTACTCCGTAGTTGTGGATAAGTAATCTCAGTTACTGACCGTGACCCTTGGGTCATTGGAACTTGGTTAAGGATGTGGGTAGTAGATGTGCACAGAATTTCTGTCGGCTTGAGCCGCGCAGCTTACTCCGTTAACCTTCTTCTGTTCAGTACAGTATTGTCTACTGTCTATGGAGGCATTGAAGAATCCACCTAGAAAAAGTTGTCGTAATCATGCCAGTTCAGCATCGATAAAAGACCCACCGCAACAGGCGGCACCTTACTTTAGGGATTCTACCAATCGGGAAAGGGATGCCTCACGTGTTCGGTTTCAAGGGTTCAATTCCGTCCAGTTCAAGGTCGGGTCAAGTGGGATGCCGTAAGCCGGGTCCTTAGTCATCTGCATAGTGCTGCGTAATCAAACCAAGAACTGATCTCTGGAATTGCAATTTCATGTCTAAGAGGACTATGCCCCTTCTTACCTGGTGTGAGTTGCTAATATTAGCCAACCCCATCTTTTATATCTAAAGCACATTGAGAAGAACAATCAAACCAAACCATGGTCACGAGAAATCTCTCTGTAGATAGAATGTCCTCAAAAACAAGAGATGAGATCGTCCAGGGTCTCGACCACCGATGGAATGGAACACAAACCCGAGAACGACTGGAAAGGGTTGTGACTTGCTCTCAATCTACCACTTACTAAACTCAGAAAGAATAGGGAAAAAAGGAAAAAGCCACACAACACCGGATGAGGTATCCACGCCAAGCCCCCTGGCCAGGGTCTAGGACGGTTGTGTTGCCTGTTGACACCTTGGACAACCACAGAAACGGGTTTAGGGCCATGGGTCTGGAAGCTCCCTCTAGCCAGATCTTGTCTCATGCCAAGACGGACGCTTGCGCGTCTCCGCCACCCATCGTCCTTTTTAGGAAGGATGCCGTAATCCTGTAACGCCGACTGGTTTTATCTCCGTTGGTTACTTTCCGCTTTGAGTTGGGAGGAAGAAATGCGGGTACTCGACGCCGTCGGGTCCCGGGGTGTCTTTTTTCTCTTTCTGTTGTTTGAACAGCTCTCTCGGTATTATTGTAGTCAATTTCAGGTGTCAATCAGCGCCGCTATTCTATTCATCGACTGAAATCAATGGTGTAGGGTTCTCTTGATGTGTTATATGCATAAATGATTGGCCTAGGGATTTCCTTTTTGGGAGGGAAAAATAAATGACGGTGGAAATGAATTGGCGATTTGTGGTACATGAGAACTGTCAGAGTGGGGATTCACATTCATCAGGGTGCAGATGCCGCGTGTGCTTCTAATGCTAAGAAGATAGGGCGCTGGACAGGTCGTCTTATATGTACAGAAAAGGCGTTTATGCGTACGGACTGCTGAGGAGTTGCTTCAAGGGTGTCGTGCGCATACGGGCGTGATTGTCTTCTGATCGCTGTGTCTATCATGGAGTCGTCCTCCAATTGAAACATATAGAAGTCTGCCGTGCAAGGCGCAATTGAACCCTGATCAAGGTTGGCTCTTCTAAGTCATCAAGATCACCATGATCATCGCCGGCCATACGACGGCTGAAGTCTGTTCCGGCTAGGGTTTGGGTTGCTCTTCTTATAGGAGGACTCCTTTTAAATGACCCTCAGATCCTTCGAGGCCACGACGTGCCCAACATATAGTTCGACGCCGACATACGGTGCTGACCCCCCAATTGCTTCTATGGCAGCTCTCCGAGTAATTTAGCTGGCAAATAGTGCAGTTCTTAGCCTTACATGACTATCAAACTCCCTCCTATTTGCCCAATCCCTTCGTCCACCAAAGAATCGGTTCCCAAATTCGGGCAGGACTTCATCCGCGATTCGTCAGCTGAGGGGAATTGTTGATGTGGGTTAAAAATCCAAGCAATGAGTCGTATACTCGTAAGGCTACGGGCCATGCCGCTCTGCCAAATTGCCCCTTTTGGTAGAATTATTGGATTGTTGTGCTCGAGTAGCTGTTGGAGATGTAAAAATTTCTCTTGTTGTGGAGGAAGAGCTCCTTAAAATTCTGTTGATGGTGTGCCTACTGCCTAGTATCGACCATTGAGGTGGACACGGCGTGCACGGAGCACGGTCGTTGCGCATGGTAGCGTACGATGGTGACATTTTTAGTCCGTTGGTCAGAGAGCCGCGTAAGACAGGCAGGCTGACGTCGAAAGAGATCCCCATGGCGCGGACCCAGAGCGCGGAAGATTGCGCTCGACAGTTACCCGATCGGGAGATGCAAATCTTCTGTATAGCGGAACAGGACCTCCACGGGGAGGGTGTGACCAGAAAGATGATGAAGCTCTGAGGATCATAGTGAAATTTGTGCAAGGCTTGCGTAGACGAGGTTGAGGGGAAGAGCCAGTCCCAATGTCAGATCACGACGTGCAACCCACGCGGACATGGCCAAGCTTTTTGAGGGATTCATCAGCAGGCGTGTCTCCTCTCTGTAGGGCCTAGGAAGAAAGTGGAGATAGAGTAAGAGGGTGGGAAAGAAAAATACATAGTCTAACTTCTATCTACCAGTGGTCCATACTAGTATAGTGATAGTGCTATTGGGCGCTGTATGGAGTCGTGTTGATGGAGTTGGTGTTGTTATTGTTGTTGTTGTTGCTACCAGTAGTAGAAGCAGACAGCCACACCGTTGTTAGCATTGAAGAGGTCACGATGGACAGGGAGAATTGACATCGGGCTCGAGAAGTGGAGCCTGAAGTTCAGAGATATCGACCTAATCGGATCGCGACAAGGAGGGATTGACAAAGAAGAAATATACTTGCGGGAAGGTTGGGGTCAATAATTGGGGAAAAGATCGGAGGAGTCTGCAGAGAATGGATGCAGTTTGAGAGTAGTAGTGGTACGGAGTAGAGACAAGGGTTTTGGGTTGGGAAAGGGCTGGCTGTATGGCAGAAACCATACCGAGAGGAAGGGAACCAGCACGAGAAAGAAGCAGAAGTGCGTCGCAGTAAGCCAGACAGAAGCAAGCAAGCAGCGGACCGACCAGAGCGAGGGTCTTGGCCATGGTTCAGTTAACTGTTTCGGGGCGGGACACACGCGGCTTGCGGTGCTGGCGCGGGGCCCTGATTGGGGCGAAGAGCTCAAGGCTGACGACGCTTCGCCCTCGCTGCTGGCGTGGAGAGAAAAAGCGCCAATGGCCAGAAAAATCATCACCTCTCCTGTGACTAGTCAGTCCCTCCTCCGTCGTCGTATTACTACTAGTATTGCGTATTGTTCGGCCACGGTCTGCGTAACTGCTTCTCAACTCTCTTAGCAGTTAGTTACCTTCCCTTTCTTCCCTTCCTCTCTCTACTCTCTCTCTCTCTCTCTCTCCCTCTACTCTCCCTCCCTCCCCAAGGAACTACTTCCCTACCTCTTCGTAGGTATCTTCAATTTCATCCCTCCCCATTCCTCTTCTAACCGCTCTCTTCCTCTCTCTCTTTCTTCCCTTTCCCTTCCTTCTTTCTCTTTCTTCCTTTCCTCTTCGCTCGGTTCCCCTGCCCGCCCGCCCACTCCCCTCTTCCTCTCCAAACCCTTCCTATACCCTTTCGGTCGTTAAACATCCTGGACATAATATCTTCGCCTTCTCACACTACTTGATTATACTGTAGCCATTTCGACATTTGGCTTCAGTATCCGCCTATTTTCGTCACCATCTTGATCCCTCCGTAGTCGTGGCGGTTACGTTGACCAGCGCCAAGCGTGGCGACCGCCTGGCTAGGCTGTGCGACTATCATTACAACCGGCCGACCTGACGGACCTTCCAACCTACTACTACCTGGCCTGCGTCGACATCACTTTTGCATCCATCCCACCAACTTTCATCTCTTCCGTGTTT